ACTTACTAACCATAGTGATCCCTTGGATTTTATAGGGTTTTCTTAGGGAAGCAACACTTAGAGGTGGTTTTGCCAGTATTTAGGCCACTTGTGTGCATATAATATGCCTCCAAGTTGCCTCATGATCTATGGCAACTCCATAATTTTCATAAAGTTTTCTTAGGGAAGAAATACTCAGAGATGGTTGGCCAGTTCCTTCCCATAAAACCTTATAGGAAAAGTAATGATCTTTAATGGAGGTCATCTTAAAAATTTCAGTAGCTGTTCTTAAGTCCAAATTTTAACCTTTTGATGGTAAAACACACAGGTAGGTCTTGTGGCCTCTTTCAGAGGAAAAGGGATTTCTTTGCCTGTCCTTCAAGAAGAGGCAATACTTAATTTTAAATTGGAGAAGGCGAAAAGGAGGGAGCCCAGTGCTTTAGGGACATACTGGTCGAGCAGCATGCAGGTTTTTGTCTTTGGCAGGCAATCTGCCCAGGGAAATCCAGGACACGCAGCCCTTTCTGTCAAGCATCAGCGCTCTTTCCTGGGTTAGAAAACAGTGTTTTGGCCTTGTAGCTTTTGTGTCTTCTAGGCTGAGGGAATGGGGTGTTACCTGTAAAAGCACTGAATGTGGCAGCCGATGCTCAAGAGTTAGAGAGAGCTCCTTGTAACATTTCAGAGGGATGCCTTGGGTGACTTATTTTTGCAAGGGCCAACCTCAACGAATCTTGCCAAGAAAACCCAGTGATAGGTTTGCCTTAGGGCTGCCATAATTGAGAAACAACGTGAAGACGCACAACACAAACAACAAACCATTTACCTCTATTACTTGTTTGAATTTAGCTGCCCATTTGGGGTTATCAGAACATGCCCTGGAGTCTTGAGAAACTGCAGAAAGCAACCATGTGAACATTTTTTGTAAAATTAATCGTGATTCAAGAAAATTCTTGTCAATTCGGAATTTTTATTGTCAGTGTTTCCCAACACTCGAACACCTTTTCCGACTGCTTTTTAAAAGATTTTCTTGTTATCATTACTGGATGCTGGCAACAAAACTCATGGCTGGCTAGGCATAGCCAGCATGTTTTATTATGTAATCAAAATCAAATTGAAAATATCTTGTTCTTGTCCAAAGGGCTCAGGTTTCTCCTCCCTTGCATTTTATGCTTGCGCTGAAGTACACTGGGCTGGCAGAAGCAGATTTGGGGAATATGAGAGCATGAGTCAACTCTTCTGTCTATGAGTGTGTGGCGGGAAAGCTAGGTCCCAACCCATTGCTCCTTTCTTTTTAAAATTATTTTCTCATTCAGAAATGGTGGGAAAAATATATAAAGGCAGCTAATTTTGTTAAGGTCTGAAAGGGGTTCCTGAGCCGACGTGCTGTAAGCTCATTCATTTCGTCAAGAAAAGGAGCGTCTGAACAGGGCTCTGGGGTTTTTTTGCACTCCAAAGAAATGAGCAAGCAGAAAGGTTTGGTAGCACTTAGTCATTCCCTAGCGATTACCGCATGCCTGGCACTAAGTAAGGAAGGCCTCCTCCGCAGAACAACATCCCGGATGGATCCCTAACTTCCTTCCAAGGCGGGCCTTGAAGTCTGCCTTGGCCTCAGCTGCCAAATACCTTGCGCTCCTGTGACTCCCTTGGCAGCAGGACCAAATGGGCTTACTCTCCGGTGCAATCAGTTTGTCTGATTTAACTCATGATCCAGTCCCATATTGGTGGTGCTCTGCATTATAGCAGGGGGACCAAAATAACCCCTGAGTTAATAACTAGGAAATAAGCATGAGGGTATTTCATCCTCCTCAGTGATAAGACTCTTGACAGTCTCAATTTCTTATGAGGAACAGTTTGGAATGTGGACCAGCTGGTCCAGGCAGCAACCCAAGCAGTGGATGCAGAGTTTGCAAAGTTGGTGTGTGGGCCTCACATTTAGATGAGTGTAGGAACGACGTGGCTTCCAGGATTTTGACAAATGGCAATTCCCAGCAACTGCCCAACCAGTAGTGAGGAATGTTGGGAATTGCAGTCCACCAAGTCTGGAGGGCCACATCGTAGTACGGATTCAGCCTCGTTTAATGTAGCCTTTTGATGCAGGGAAAAACAGATCATATGTGTTTTTTGATGTTTTATGTGGGGGAAGCTCACTATCAGTTCTAGGTTTCTTTATGGGGTTTGCGTTCTGTAAACCTCTCTCTGGTGGTTTTTAACTGTTAGGTGTGCCATGCAAGTCTAAATCTGTCGTATCCTTGAAATTATGGCAGGGCAATGCCAACCGGTGTTTTCTATGTTGGTACTGGATTGAAAGTGCAAAAGTAGTGTGCACTCAGTGAACAGCAGGGAAGAGGGGAAAGGAGAGTGGGAGTCTTTCTTCCCCTGTATACTCATGCAGACTGCGGCATCCTTTCCGGCTTCTATGCTTTTCCTCATTAATACCTTTTTCCCATCTTGACAACATGCTGATGCTGCTTGTCCCAGTTTTCAACTGTTAAATGTTTCAGAGCCTGGTTCTCCAGGTTTCCCCCACAAACGCAACTGCTGAGGCCTCCCTTTTGTGTGACGCCGTTCAGGATTAATAGACTGCTGCCTTTATCCAGTCCACTTAGATAATAGCTCTCCCTGTCTGCTTTGGCTTCTGACTCAGCAGTGTGTCCGCAGGTTTTAGGCATGTGCATTTCTGCAGTTACTCAGCAAGGATTAGCAGGAAAGGTGGGGAATGCAGAGAGTGAAAGGATGGGAAAAGCTCTGGGGCAGAGCTTTGGACCTAGGTCTCTTCCAGAGTCATTTTTTTTTTTGGTGTAGCTACATGCACCCCACTCAAATAAGTTGCAGGGATTGCCCTACATCAACACTGATTTATGTAGGGAAAAGTCTAAATACAACTTCAGGGCCTAAAGTTGTGGGTTACCACCCCCTAGCAATCCCCAACATTTACTATGGGCAAATATATGAACGTAGACTCTGGAGTGGTTAGGTATGGAGGCTTGGATTTGAGTTAGAAAGTCCAAATAAAAGCTGCATTTTTGATAGGCAAGGTGTTGCCACATGGGTGTTCTGGGAGTCATCTAAAAAGTAGAAATGGGAAATGTTTTGGGGGTAACAAGAATGGAGACCATTCTCCCATGCGACTTGATTCAGGAGAAGCAACAGAAAAAGAGATTGGTGGAGGGAGAAGGCTCCTCGGGCCTCATTGCTTCATTTTTTTCAGTCCAGGTTTCATCTATTTTGAAGCTTTGCCTCAGTGTTCTCTACAGTCATCATAAGTGATGAACCAGCTGATCTCCTTTGATCTTGCTCCTTCTTTTGCCATTCTTTTGACCAGAGTCTTCTGCTGCCAATGAAGTCACAAGCCCTCTTTTATGACAGATGGTTGCTATGGAAATAAGGGTGTTCTTGTCACACTTCCCCCCTTTTTACATAATTGCTGGGGATGGAAAGACAGGGCTGAGAAACACATAGGCAAAAGACTGGTTCAGAGTGGGATTGAAAGTCATGCAACAATAAACAGGTGCTAAATGGATTTGTCCCTTGCAAAATGTATCCCTTTTCAGGTCTTCCAAACAGTAGTTTTGGTGCCTTAAATCTGGCATGTTTTGCAAGGCCTGCAGTCAGGCAAATGTGGAATGTTTGATTTTTCCTATAAGATCTGAGAAGTCCTTCCAGATTTCGATGTTGGGAACAGAACTTCTAGAGATGTTTATTCTCTATGTACAATGACTGCAGTGGGTACAAGAGCATTCATACTCATGCAAGCTTTAGTTGATGTTGGTTGTAGCTCAGTGGTAATCCAGAGTGGTCTTGAGTATTACTTACTCCTCATCTTGATTTCCTTATTTCCAGGAGAGCAGTTTGGTCTTTGAAGCTTTTGGCCTGCCCTGTCTAAAAGTCTTGCAGCTAGTATTTGATTGTTTGTAATGTATTGAGAGGTTTAGAGTGGCTTCATGTGAAAATCTCAAAGGAGATTGTATATAATAACAGGCAAATCTGTAATAAAATGGGTGGGTACATCAAGTCCTGAGGAGAGATAAGTATATTGCTGCAGCTATTTGCATAATTACATTTTTTTAAAGGGTTGATTACCTCTTGCTCTGTTGGGACACTAAAGTAACTTCAGGAACCCATTTGTACTTTTCATTTAAGGTCACATTTCTGCATAGAGGGAGTGAGTGTTTTCTTGCTGGTTTCAATGACCCCAAGGGCAGTAGAAATGCTTAATTTTAATAAAAGATATTATTGTAGACTATTAAAGACATCTCAAGGCAGATGGAGGGTGAGGACCGCATCTCCATTTATGAATCCACGCGTTCACTTCGGTCATCTGGAGAGGCCCTGCTCGTGATCCCGCCTGCGTCGCAACCGCGCTTGGTGGGGACACGAGACAGGGCCTTTTCCGTGGTGGCCCCCCGACTTCTGGAACACCCTCCCCAAAGATCTTAGACAGGCCCCTACATTGGCAGTCTTCAGAAAGAACTTGAAGACCTGGCTGTTCCGATGTGCCTTCCCAGATTAGGAAATCTCCAATACCAAGTCCCATAAGCACTTTACTAGAACTATGATTGCTGCACACCGCACACTGCACTTGCCCTATAATCCTACATACCACCTGTCACATCAGCACTTTTAATCCTGTACCCATTACTCTGGCCCGGCCCAGTTTTATTGTGTCTTAGTGTATTGTTTATTGCTTGTTGTTTAATATTGCTTTAATTGTTTTTAATTTGCTTTAGGTTTTGTATTGTTATATTGTGTTTGAGGCCTTGGCCTTTGTAAGCCGCATCGAGTCCTTCGGGAGATGCTAGCGGGGTACAAATAAAGTTAATAATAATAATAATAATAATAATAATAATAATAAAATAATAATTCCACACATACAATGGACTGACACCCTGAGCAGTTCACTTGGATCCCCATCTGGACACAGATTACCTTGGGGCCATTTGGGCCATTCTTACACAGAGCCAATGCTCAAGGATAGAATTGGGAAGGCTGACATCTGATCTCCTTCCTGCTCTTCTCTTCAGAAACCATGGCGAGCCCAGCAAAGGAGAACAACTACAGAATGAAGAGTTATAAGAACAAGGCGCTGAACCCGGAGGAGATGCGCCGGAGGAGAGAAGAGGAGGGAATCCAGTTACGAAAACAGAAACGGGAGCAGCAGGTACATAGACCTGCTTTTCTTTCTGTCTCTCTGACTTCCTTTTCATTTTTGGGTTTGCAACCCCTGAAGCATCTTGGGGCAGAAAACTGACATAAGCCACCAGAGTCACCCTCCTTCCCCTCTGATTTAATCTGTTTTCTACTTCAGCTCTTTAAAAGACGAAATGTGGAACTAATAAATGAAGATGCTGCTATGTTCGACAGTCCCCTTGCAGACGCCTTTGTCAGCTCCACCACGGGTGGGGTAAGTCAATCTTGAAAGCTATTGTGTTAGTTTAACCTTTTGTTTTAACTGTTCTTTTGCTATGGTCAGTAGCAGAAGACCAAAAGTACCAGACAGTATTGGAAGTACTTCCTTTGATATCTTTCTTTCCAAAAGTTTATAAGATGAATATCTTAGTTTATTTGAATAGAACGATCCTCCAGGATCCAGACCAGCATTGTTCTTATTTCCAGTTTGATAGCTTCCCCTTTGAAAAGAGAAATTTCTTGGGGACGAGATCTGGGGATTGACGTTTGGATGTGGATTTTTCAGGAGGGAGTGATCACAAGAGAAATGGTGGAGATGCTTTTCTCTGAAGACCCTGACCTTCAGCTAGTAACCACCCAGAGGTTCAGAAAGCTACTGTCAAAAGGTAAATGCAGCCTCAGGTCTTAAGCAGTCTTATATTTTTTAAAAATATCTGTTTGTGGCAGCACATTTGTCAGAATTTCTGTCAGGATTGCACAGATTACTGAATTGGTTTGCATAAAACATCTAAATGTTATAAATGTTACGACAGGAACTGTGGAATAGACATAACTGTCCCATTGTTTCTGGTTTACAAATCCTTGTGAGAATGAGAGATGGAGTTTTGAGGTGTGTGCATAATCTCATCAATGTGCCCAACAGTGTTATGAAAAGTTGTATCTGGCCAAATGTATGAATGACACACTTGCTCTGCCAGCAAAGTGCTTGAATGAATAATGCGAAGAGTTTTTAATAATAATAAAAATAATAATAAAAACTTGCAGGGCCGAGACCCTGGTCTCGGTCTCACCTTCTTCGCAAGCACAGCTGGAGGGGACGAGAGACAGACCTTCTTAGTGGTAGCCCCTCAGTTGTGGAACTCCCTCCCTAGTGATAATAGATCTGCCCCCTCCTTCCTAACCTTCAAAAAGAGAGTAAAAACCTGGATTTGGGAGCAGGCTTTTGAAAAATAGTGCGGTGCAGTAATTTTAATGTGGAATATGTGTAGTTGATTATGGAATGGCCTTAGACTCTGGTCCTTGGATGGGGCGTTTTAACATTGGAATGTATTTTGATTATGTTGTATATGTATTAATTTTAATCCAATTTATTTTTAAGTTAGCATTGTATGTTTTTAGGCACTGTGTAGGTGCCGTGTAAGCCGCCTTGAGTCCCCCTTGGGGTAGAAAAAGGTAGGATATAAATAAGATAAATAAATACATTTATATACCATCCTATTTCCCCAAGGGGACTCAGGGTGGTTTCCAGCATATAAGGCAAATCATTCAATTTCCATAAAGGAAAACCATACAGACAAATTTAAAATAAATATCATAAAACATACAATCCTACTAAAACATACATAAAAAAATAAATGTATCCACCAAAAAGCAAATTAGGAAGGCGAGGAAGGGACCCTCCAAGGCGGGGAGCAGCGGAGGTGGCGAATAGGAGGAGGCTGTGAAGTAGGGACACTCTGCCCACTCAAGTGGGCGGAGCGTCCCTACTTCACAGATTTTCGCTTATCGCAGGAGATCCTGAAACAGAACACCTGCAATAAGTGAGGGATTACTGTCTATCACTTTAGAGAAAATGTCACTGCTGTACCCTTAATCTCAATCCTTTTGAACAGTTTATTTGCAATACTTTGAAGAAGGTTTATCTAGGTGTAGACTAGCCTCAGATTTGTATAGGATTCTCAACTATCAAATAACATGTTTTAATGCATATACTGATTGAGAAAATTACTATTACTACTAGCTGTGCCCACCACACGTTGCTGTGGCCAACCTTCACTTCCCTCTTTCCCTCCCTCCCTCTCTTTCTTTCCCTTCTTCCCTCTCTCCCTATTTCCTTCCTTCTCTTTTTTCTTTCCTTCTGTCCTTCTTCCTTTTCTACCTCTTTCCTTCCTTCCCTCTGTTTTTCTTTCTCTCCTTTCTTCCTTCTCCACCTATTCTTGGACTATAACTCCCAGCAGTCCTCCTGATTGATCTGTCTATCTCTAGCTAATCAATCTATCTATCATCTGTCTGGAGGATTGCTGGGAGTTGCAGTCCAGGAATAGGAAATATTACGGATTGGGATGCTCTCAAAGAATTCCAAGGAGAAGCAAGCTTGCAGCTTGGAAGCAGTGCATTTGGAACATCCTCCTCCCCTAAAGGGTCTGGTCTAGGGGATGCTGGGAGCTGTCATTTTCACGCATGCGCTGTATCAGCATTTAGCTTTTTTGGGTTTTTAAGTCCACTATTTTTTGGGAGGGGTTTATGAGTGATGGTCACTCGTTGGTCTGTTAGGGGTGCAGTGTCCAAATTTCATGTCAGTTCGTCCAGTGGGTTTTGAGTTATGTTAATCACACGAACGAACATTACATTTTTATTTATATAGATTTATACTGACAGTTCTGAGTCTTTAAAGAGTGGTTTTCAGCAGAGCACCTCGTGCCATGTTTTCTTATTAAATGTTATTAAAAGTATCCCTCTTCTTTTCTTTAGAGCCCAATCCTCCAATAGATGAAGTGATAAGCACTCAGGGAGTGGTAGACAGGTTTGTTGAATTTCTCAAGAAAAGTGAGAACAGCACATTACAGGTAAGTGAGGAAGGGGGTCTTTTTGACTTGGCATTGCTTTTCTGCAAATCTGATTGGCCCAGTTTCACATTTTGGTGAACTGTACAGGGCACTGTGCCTCCGAATGGCATTCCTTGAACATGCTGTTGTGGCCACAACTGTGGTCTTTCCTTGGAACCAAACAACATAAAGTGTCTTAAATGTAAACTGAAATGCATTATTATTATTATTATTATTATTATTATTATTATTATTATTCCTCTCATTGTGACTTGAGGTGGGGTGCAGCATAGTTAAAACAATTAGATAAAACACTATTAAAATACATGTAACAAATAATACACTTAGTAAAATACAGATTAAAATTCACCGGTAAAATGCAGATTAAAATGAAAGTGTTGAAGCACAAGTGGGTTTTTTTTTTTTGGTCCTGATACTAATAAAGGGCATTGAAGCAATTGAAGTCCAAATGTCTGTACTTGTTATAGTGCCCTCCTGCCAAATGTTTGCTAAAATGTATGTGAATCATCATTAAGAGAAGGCAGATAAGGAATTATATGGAACCCCAGTTTGTGTAACTTTTTTGTGGGATGTTTTCTATGAAACCCTAAATCCATCATTGCCATTGGGATTAGTTTGTGATAGTCTCTGCTGTACTTTGCAACTCAGGACTCCTTTATTGGTCTCAGTACTTGGTTTGAGGACGTCTATTAATGAGTTGCCTCTTGCTTTTCCAGTTTGAAGCTGCCTGGGCATTAACTAACATTGCCTCAGGCACGTCACTGCAAACCAAAATAGTCATTGAGGCCGGCGCCGTTCCTATCTTCATCGAGTTGTTGAGCGCTGATTTTGAAGATGTCCAGGAGCAGGTGAGGCACTTTTGGGGTGAACTTGGACCCCACGTCCAGGAGATCTGTCATGAAATACATTGAGGCAAGCAAAAGTCACACAGTCTTAGTCCCTTCTTCAAGTCTTTATAATTTTTTCTTCATGTCAGGAGCGACTTGAGAAACTGCAAGTCACTTCTGGTGTGCGAGAATTGGCCGTCTGCAAGGACATTGCCCAGGGGACGCCCAGATGTTTTACCAACCTTGTGGGAGGTTCTCTCATGTCTGTGCATGGGGAGCTGGAGCTGACAGAGGGAGCTCAACCCGCTCTCCCCAAATTCGAACCTCTGAACTGTTGGTCTTTAGTCCTGCTGGCACAAGGGTTTTAACCCATTGCGCCACCAGGGGCTCGTCTTTATAATCAGAGGTAGGCAGATTGTGGCCCTGCAGATATGGTTGGAACTACAGATCCCATCAACTGCAACTAGGATTGATGTGAATTACAATCCAACAGCATTGAGAGGGTCGCACCCTGCCTCCTATTCCTTTCTGTCCATTGTTGTTCCCTGCTCATCACATGTTCAGTGTGCTCCTTCCAAGCCTTTGGTCACAACATGTTCAAGTGTTCTGACTGTTCAAGGGAAAAGACAGCACTGCTGAAGGAACTTTAAGAGCAGGGGAGCTCAGAGGAGAAGAAAGACATCGACACCAGGGGAAGCCCTGTGATTCAGGGTGAGGGTAGCAAGATCCAAATGGTGGGTTTCCATTTCACACAATTAACAAGGGAACTGCCGGGCCAGGAAACCTTCAGGTTACAAGAAGCTTAATTTCTTGTTTAATAGCAAAGTTGATCGACAGCAGGAAGGTAGTGCAAGGATATCATCACACTGTGCTCTTAAAGAGTTGCTATATCACTTTAAATTATATGGCAGTCTTCTCTAGAATCCCAGGATTTGCAGTTTAGAGAGGGGCCTTTAAAATTCCCAGCCAGAAAAGTCCTGGGCCTCGCTAAACTACAAACCCCAGAGTTCTGCAGGAGGCAGCTGCAGGATTTAAAGTGTGATACAACTCTTTAAGTTATATCTCACCAAGGCTGTAGTGGCGCAGTGCGTTAAACCACTAAGCTGCAGAACTTGCTGAGCAGAATGTCAGCAGTTCTAATCCATGCACGGAGTGAGCTCCCATTGTTAGCCCCAGCTTCTAGCAGTTCGAAAACATGCAAATGTGATTAGATCAATAGGTACCGCTCCAGCGGGAAGGTAACTGCACTCCATGCAGTCATGCTGGCCACATGACCTTGGAGGTGTCTATGGACAACACTGGCTCTTTGGCTTAGAAATGGAGATGAGCACCACCCCCCAGAGTCAGAAACGACTAGACTGAATATCAAGGGAAAACCTTTACTTTACCTTATAACTCTTTAAAGTGTAGTGATAATCTCCCAATACAATAGGGCCTCGAAAGGACCAAAGTCTGGGACCGTGCCCCCTTCCTATTCCCTATTTTCCTCTCCATTCAGGGATTGAGTGCTGTACTTCTTCTTCTCCTTCCTCCAGGCTGTTTGGGCGTTGGGAAACATTGCTGGAGACAGCTCTGCCTGCCGCGACTATGTCCTCAACTGTGGCATCCTTCCTCCACTGTTGCTGTGAGTAGCTGTTGAGAGAAATTGGAATATTATACCTCCCTTTGCGATGTATTAGCTATATAGGGCATTCCATAGTAAAAAAAAACAAAAACCTGATGGCCTGGACTTAAGACCACAGTAAACATTTCTTTATAAGATTTATTAATAAACTTTTATTATTGCAGAAAAATTGGGGAAAAAGTGTGTAGAATATATTCTCTTCCAATAATATAAATAGCTTCCTGTTATATTGTTTGAATAACATGGCATAGACATAGTATTTATCATAGGAAAATAACATATTCTACGCACTTTTATTTTTCTTGAAAGAAATGGCTTTGGAAAAAAATGGAAAGAAATCCTGTTTTCCCCCCAGTTTTTCTGGGGTTTTTTTCCAGGCCTTCTAATCTCTAGTATGTACTTCACTATGCTATAGACTTGATTTAACATGGCTAGTTAAAATTGTTAAGGTTTAAACCTTGGTGGGAGTAATTCTGAAGGGGGGCTGTCGAATCTACATGAGTGTGCATTTTCACTGTACTAAGAAGATACGGTTTGCCTCATATTCCAGGCTTCTCACAAAATCTACCAGGCTGACAATGACACGAAATGCTGTCTGGGCCTTGTCGAACCTGTGCAGAGGGAAGAACCCTCCCCCTGAGTTTGAGAAGGTGAGATACATGAATTTGCCCAACATTATCCCCAGAATTCTGAAATGAGCCAGTTTAGTCTTCCAGAGCTCACACTGATATTACCGAATGCTCCCAACTGTTTATAATCTGTAAAGAACTGTGACCCTCCCATAAACAAGTGCATGAGGAAATACATATTTAGCACAAGCCTCTTGGCAAACACTTAGTATTGCTAACCGTGCTGCTGGTCAAGATCTGCTTATGGCAGCTCGACTCTTGTTGTGCTCCTTCTCAGTAAGGAGAATGGATAAGGGCACCCCCCCCCCCCCAAATGAGAAGTTACTGCAGCCTGTCTATATTGAAATGTTGGTGGAAAATATTGATATATTTGTGGGATGTTTACACCAGCTTCAGTCATTGGCTTAAACAGCTTTCTTTCACTTTGGATTTTTAAATGTCTAGTTTGTTCAATTGGATGAGAAATTCTAGTTTTCCAGATGAAATATATATTAGGACTAGCCGTCCCCTGCCATGCGTTGCTGTGGCCCACATGGGGGTTCTGTGTGGGAGGTTTGGCCCAATTCTATCGTTGGTGGGGTTCAGAATGCTCTGTGATTGTAGGTGAACTATAAATCCCAGCAACTACAACTCCCCAAACTCCACCAGTGTTCACATTTGGGCATACTGAGTATTCTTGTAGTGTTTGGTCCAGATCCATCATTGTTTGAGTCCACAGTGATCTCTGGATGTAGGTGAACTACAACTCTAAAACCAAAGGACACTGCCCACCAAAGTCTTCCAGTATTTTCTGTTGGTCATGGGAGAACTGTGTGCCAAGTTTGGTTCAATTCCATCGTTGGAATGACAAACTCCCAAATGACAAAATCAATTTTTTTGAGTGAAGGACATATACATTGGGCTGTTAGGTGCCTTGTGTCCAAATTTGGTGTCAATTCGTCCAGTGGTTTTTGAGTTCTGTTAATCCCACAAATGAATATTACATTTTTATTTATATAGATAATATCCCCAACAATTTACTGTGTAAGCATCAAATGTTGTGGGCTAAGAACAAAATCCAAACAAATCTCTTGGTTTTTTCCCCCTTTGGGGTACAGAATAATCTGTGGAGTCCTCTTTAAGGCCAACTGTTGCCCTCTCGCCTTCTTCAGGATCCTTCTTCTTCTTCGCAGGTATCCTCCTGTTTGCCGGTTTTGTCCCGCTTGCTCTTTAGCAGCGACTCCGACTTGCTGGCAGATGCATGCTGGGCCCTCTCCTATCTTTCAGACGGCCCTAATGAGAAAATCCAGGCTGTAATAGATTCTGGCGTGTGCCGGCGGTTGGTGGAATTGCTGATGTAAGTATCTTGGTTGGATTAAGGTGCTGGTGACACCCCAGCACCTTAATCCACAGCATTACTACAGCATTGTATTGGAAGACCTAGCAAATTCCTAGAGAGGAGACCTCTAGGAATCTCAGTGGAACTCTGTAGCATGCTGGGATTGGAAATTGGGTAATTTAATGGCATTTGGTTGTGTATGTGGTTTCAGGTAACACTGGAGCGTATCCTCCACCGACACAGGGCTCTTATTGGAGTCTTTTAATGAATCCTAATGGTTACAGCCTTATATAAGTTCAGTGTTAATTAAAATAACTTCTATAACAGGCACGAGCAAACTTAGGCCCTCCAGGTGTTTTGGACTTGGAGTGCCACAATTCCGGCTGTTAGGATTTGTGGAAATGGAAGTCCAAAACGCCTGGAGGGCCTAAGTTTGCCCATGCCTGTTACATAAGGATCTTTTATTAATACAGACTAACATAGCCAGTCTAATTTGGGGGTGTTCATTATCAAGCCATCATCCTTGGATCCGCAAAAGAATTCTCAACATGGTTATCTCGTTTTGCTTTAAGTGGGTTAGAGCTCTGTGGAGATATTTTCAGTGCTGAGAGGACTGAGGTGGTGCCCTTGGGATCCTCAACGCAGAGATTAGCTGCTTAAGAAGAGCATGAAATCTGTCCGGGCAGTGAATGGAGTTGACCTGCGGCATTGAAACCCCAGGCACTAATCCCTGGCTCTCTCCTGGAGGTCAAGTGGAGGCCCTTGGCCAAATGGGACTCTTGGCTCATTTGTGAAGTCAGAAGTTAGCACTGCCAACATTGTGGTGCCTTGTAACACACTACAGAGAAGGATCCATGGTTGCACATGGCTGACTGGGAGGACAGCAAAATCATAGAATCATAGAGTTGAAAGAGACCCCAAGGGCCATCCAGTCCAAGCTCATTCTGCCAGACAAGAAGATTCAATCTAAGCCCGCCAGGCAGATGGCCATCTGCCTTTGCTTAAAAACCTCCAAAGAAGGAGACTCGGCAGCACATTCCACTGCCAAATAGCTCTTATCATTAGTTATATGTGGATTGATTTCTGGGATTTGATTGGGTACTTTATTTGTTTTTGTTGGTTTATTACAGCATTGAATGTTTGCCCTTATTTTGTTGAAAACCACCCTGAGTCCCCTTGGGTTCAGGATATAAATAAAGCGTTGTTGTTGTTGTTGTTGTTATTAGGAAGATCTCCATAATGTTCAAGTGGAATCTTGTTTCCTGTAATTTTTTGTTGTTGTTGATTTATACCTGCTTTTTCTCTCCACAAGGAGACTCAGCATGATTTACATTAAAAGCATTTCAATAAAATTTAAAATCTACAAATATACAAACATTAAAACAGAATTAAATATCATTGGTATTTTAAAAATTAGTTAAAATCCATAAAAACATTCCAATCTACAAACCACAACACCCCCTGACTTGATCTTTAAAACCTTCTTTATAATTTTAACACATTGTTTGGTTCTAAGTCTCAAGGATAGCAGAAAACAAGCATGTTGCCCCTTCCTTAGGACATCCTTTCAAATATTTAAACATGGCTGCCATGTCTTCTCTTAACCTTCTCTTCTGTAGGCTAAACAAATGAGTGAAGCCTGTAGGCTCAAACCTGTATCTTTCCTCCTCCTTCCCTCAGGCACAGTGACTACAAAGTGGCTTCCCCAGCTTTGCGAGCGGTTGGCAACATAGTGACCGGGGACGACATACAGACCCAGGTGATTACATGGGACAGAGTCCTAAATCCGGGCCTCCTCCCAGCCTAGGTTTCCGATTTAACAACCTACAACCAATCAGCATCACCATGCTGGATGGGTTTGTGGAAGGCTTCCCTGAAAATGGTACTGAATGCCCATCCCTGGTCAATTCATCCGCATCCCTTTTTTATTTCCTTTCCAGGTGATCCTGAATTGCTCAGCTTTGCCGTGTCTGCTCCACTTGCTCAGCAGCCCCAAAGAGTCTATCCGGAAAGAGGCGTGTTGGACGATCTCCAACGTCACGGCAGGGAACAGAGCTCAGATACAGGTAGGGCTTCCGTGTCCCCCGGTTTGTGTCTGAGGCCTAGAGATCAGGGCCCTAAAGTAGCCTTGTCTAGGTGAGCTATGTTTCGTGGTATCCTAGAATGGAATAGAATCTGTTTACTCCTTTGAGGGATCTGTCTTCACCACCATTCCCATAATGTTATGAGGGAGCTTACAGGAAAGGGCACATTCACTGTCCCACTCCATAGTACTGGTAGGCTGTTAGGAATTGTGGGAGTTGAAGTCCAAAACACCTGAGGGGTTAAGTTTGCCCATACTTGAGATAAACCCATTGAAGGAGATGTCACAAACACAAGGAGAAACTCTTGCCTCGTCCTGAAGTTAGAGAGAGGTTGGCTTTGCTTTCTTGCCCAGTACTCCTAAGTCTCTTTCTTCTTTGCTAGTGGAGACTTCAAACATGAAAGGTAATTGGAAATACTGAAAACAACAAGGGATTTCAACTTCTTGCTATTGCTATTCCCTTGCTCTGGTCTGTTGGGCAAATGGGCTGATTAGCAAAAGACCCTCCTCATAAATGTACAGCAGAGTAACTTAGCAGCAGCATGACCAAGCATCAATAGCCCAAAATGATAAAAAGAACAAAAACCCACAGACCAATGTTATCTCTTCCATAGGAAGCTTTTCTTTGTAGTAAAATAATATAGTTGAACTATTTGCAATAACAAGGTTTCCACAATACAAATAAAGTCCTTTATACTTCCTTCTTTGCTTCCATGCTTATTTGCTTCTTTCCCATACAGATATACAGCTTTGCTCTCACAGAGCCTCCTCTCCCACTGAAATTACACAGGAGCTTCACATAATAGCTTTACACACAGCTGTACACACGAGTCCTTTAACCTGGGGCTACTTTTATCAAAACTTCTCACACACTGAGATTTACCTCACACTTCTCAGGATGACACTAGCTTTTGGCCTACTAACTCTTAACAGGCTTCGGCCTGCTCACTCTCCTCTGACTAACTAATTATTTCAGTGATTGACTCACACTTTTGTCATCAAAAATACCCAGTTAATTCTTAATATTTCTGGCATGTTGTTCAGGCAGTCATAGACGCCAACATTTTCCCAGTCCTGATCGAAATTCTACAGAAGGCTGAATTCCGCACGAGGAAAGAAGCCGCCTGGGCCATCACCAACGCAACGTCTGGAGGAACTCCGGAGCAGATCAAGTAAGTCCAGGCATTTACCCCTTAGTAAGGCTTACTGGGGCTGCTCTCTGATCAGTCTTAAAGGGGCATACGTTGGATAGAGAGACTTGTGAGTCCATGGAAGCAATAGTTTAGGATTGATGTGCAGTTTCCCATTTTCTCTCATCTGAAAAGGAAATCTACGGTGTCCAAGCTGGAGTTTAGTGTGTGTTTTCAGATAAAGGCTACTAAAGCCCTTGTGTTAAACTCAAGGCCTGTGGGCCGAATCCAGCCCTCCATGTCATTTTGTGTGTCCCTCCAGATGTCCCTCTCCCTGAGTCCCCTTGTGGGAGAAGGGCGGGGTAGAAATGAAGGAAATAAAAAAATAATAAATGCCAGACTACAACTACTGTATTCCTCCTCATTAGACATCATGACTAGGACTGATGGGAGTTGTCATACAGTAACACCTTCAAAGCTACCATTTGCTCTACTTAGTCAAGAGAGTAGGGTCTGAGTTCAGATACAAGGCTTGTTGGTATGATGCCTGACTTTAAAAGTTCCTTTCACCTGGGTCCCCAACCTCAGAACCACAAGGGCTGTTGGGTTACAATCCTCATTACTCCCAGTCTGCGTGTCGTTCCATGACATCTCAAGACCCAAACTGGGCAAAGACTAAAGAGTACCAATCATCATATTAAAAATTATAGTTGTCCCACTGTCTCCATGGAGTGAACAGTCATTTGAAGGCAACCATAAGGCAGATGTGGCCCTTGATGAAAACGAGTTTGACACTCCTATGCTAAAGGATGTTTTACACCTCAAGTAGATTATTGTGTAAAGCTGTGGCACTGGGCATTAGGATCAAGGGCTTTCTTGAGATTAATGCATGCCTCACTTTTGATTGCGGGTGTGACTCTCCTGAACATTTACTCTCTCCTACCATAGGTACCTGGTAAACCTGGGCTGCATCAAGCCCCTGTGCGACCTCCTGACCGTCATGGACTCCAAGATTGTCCAAGTGGCCCTGAATGGCCTGGAGAATATTCTGCGACTCGGGGAACAGGAGGCCAAGCAGAGCGGCACCGGCATCAACCCTTACTGCAGCCTCATTGAGGAAGCCTACGGTGAGTCCTCCCTTCAACTGGTCAGAAAAGAGATAGCCATGTTAGGACTCTTCCCTTGAAATAGCTGTGAGTGAGTGACGTTCACCTTGATGCCTCCCCAAATATACCTCTTAACTACATATATAGAAGTGTATGCAATTTTTAAAATCTGTATATTATTTCAGCTATATAAAATTGTTGTAAAGACAGTAATTTTCCAATACATCACTTTTATCACCAATACTCTTACTTCAAACTAACTTTCCTCACTCATAAAAACAATAACCTTAAAGTTAAAAAGATATGCGATGAACATATTCCCCTAACTTATTATCTTAGACAACTTATTATCTTAGTCAACAATATATATGTATTTATCTATATGTATTTTAATCTTGTTTTGTTGTATGATGTTTTAACTTGTATTAGTAGCATTGAATCCTTTTTGTAAGCCGGTCTGGGACCCTCTACGGAGGTGAGAAGATCGGGATATAAAAGCTTTAAATAAATTTTAAATAAAAAACTTCTGCATTCTACTTTGCTCCCTCAATATTTCATTTCATCTTCAAAACCTGCAAGCATTTTTGTTTTCCTTCATTCTTTATAAATAACACAAAGGATTCCCATTGTTTTAAAAAGTTAATGGGGCGATATTTCCTTTATCAGACAAGACAGTTTGCCCATTTCTGTCAGTTCCAAAATATTTTATAATCTGATTTTCCTCTAAGGGCTGTTACTTATTTTTCCATGTTTGCACCTAAATGGAAAGAGTGTGTGTGTGTGCGCACACATATAGAGGGGGAGGGATATAATGGAGTTGCAAGACATCCAGTCCAACCCCCTGCCATGCAGGAAGAGCACAATCAAAGCACCCTTGACAGATGGCTATCTATTTTCTGTTTACCCTATTTATTCAAATCCAATCCTCTTTTTTTGGCCAAAATGCCTCTCCAGAATTAGGGTACACATTAGATTTGTGTCATATGGTCATCTTAATGCTGAGCCAAAACTAAGGAGGAAGCTGCTTCAGGAGCTTTACTGGAATCCCTATTGGAAGGAATGTCATCTCTAATTTAATGGCCACGGCTCAATGCTATGCAATTTTGGGATGTGTCATTTGGTGATGCACCAGCATTCTTTTGCAGAGAAGGTTGAGAATCTTGAAAAAGTACACCCTTCATGACATTGAACCAAGGCAGTTAAAATGGATTCATTCTACAGCATAAATGCACCCCATAGTTTCTTTTTAATTGCTGGAAGCTTTGGTGTCATAACAATTTTATTTTTAAAGAAAGGATTCTAAGCAGGCAGCAACTGTGATGGCCAAATGACAAGGAATGCACTTTTTGCCGCTGCGCATGACATTCTATAGCAAATACTGTTTTTGATTTCAGGGTTTTGAAAATTGAGGCATGCACTGGATTTGACAGTACATGAGACTCGAGTTTTATTAATAACAATGCCCTTTCTCTTCCAGGCTTGGATAAAATTGAGTTTCTCCAGAGTCACGAGAACCAGGAGATCTACCAGAAGGCCTTTGACCTGATTGAGCACTACTTCGGCATCGAGGACGATGATGCCACTTTGGCCCCCCAAGTCGACGAGGCCCAGCAGCAGTTCATCTTCCAGCAGCCCGAGGCCCCCATGGAAGGCTTCCAGCTATAACGCCCGGATGGAGGCGGATGAAGGGGGAGAGACCACCAGGACATCCATCCACGGAGGAAACCCTCTTTGCCTCTGGCCCTGTCCTCTCCTCTGCCAGAAGCAGAAGGTGGCAGCACCCTCGCACCTGTTGAAAAACAGCTTTCCCTTCACCGACACATGGCAGCTGTGCTTCGCTCTCATGAAGAGGAGATCATCCTTAGTACACTTTCCCCCCCTTTGGCTGCTGCTTTTGGGGGGGAAAAGAAGAAGAAGCAGCTGGTGGATGGATGAGGGGTGTGAATCCGTGACACCTTCTTGTGTGTGTGGATTTTCCTCCAGGTTTTCTTTTCTTTCCTTTATTTTTCCTTTGTGGTGTGGTTTGTTTTCTCTCTCCTCTTAAAACATTGACTCTTCACTAAGGTACTGGAGAGAGGAAGGCTTCTTCAGAGGAAGGAAGCCAAAGAAAAAAATAAAATAACATAAATCGTAACCAAGGAAACTAATCTTGGACGCTTGGATTCAACTATTTAAAAGATTACTATTTTTGTTTTGGTTTTGCACATATTAATTTGTATTAAAGACTCTATCCTCTGCCAAAAGCACCACTTTGGCCCACTGTTTATTATTTTGATTTTTTTTGGTCTTTTGGAGCCCCCTCTCTTGCCAAAACAAGGATTTTGGGGTAAAGTTCCTTGCTGCTTTTTTGTCCTCTCCTCCGAGAAAGAGAATTTTCCCCATAAACAGACTGCAAGGGAGGAAAAGAAATTGGACCATGCCTTGAGGAAGAAGAAGAGCCTTCGTGTGTTTGTGCATTTGCATTTGGGGGGATCCTTTTTCTTTTTGTTGCGGCTGATCTCCTTGGGAGCCAAGGCTTCCAAATTACTCTCCCAAAGGGATCTGTAAGGCATTGAAGGCACATGAAAATGATTCAAAGCACAGCTCCCACTCCAGGAGGACTTTCCTTACATTTGCTACTGACTTGGACTGATTGGGAAAGAAAAGAGAGGAAGGAAAATCAAAGTCCCCATCTTTTGTCTTTACTTGAAGAAAAACCCCAGAGCCTTTCGATTCATGTTGTTTCATTTGGGATCCCCCCCTCCCCCTTTCTTTGCAGGGACAAACCTCAAATCTCAAAACAAGGGGTCGGAACCGGCCTGTTTTTTCTCGGGATGACCTCCTGCTCGCATTCTGTATCGTGTACATTTTCCTTCAAAATGAAGAAAGTCAAAGCTCTGTATTTTTTATATATTATATATACACACATGTTAGATATTTGTCTAATTCGGTCTCCGGAGGGGGAGAGAAACTGCTCCTTCTCATGAGATCCTGTGTGGAAGCAGGCCTTGCCTAGGAATATGGCTCTGGCAAAAAGAAAAAAGAAACTTTTATTTCTTTTGTGTTCCTGTCTTTGCCTACTCTGTGAGCCCCCAAATATGTTTGATTTCCTTCAACCTGGTTGCAATTGCTGGTCTGACTCGAGCAGAAAGCAGGAGAATCTTTGAGTGATGATAGATTTGGGATAATTATATATATTTGGGATGGGGACGATCCCTTTGGTTGTCTTCATGTTTTTTCCTTGCGCTCCAAAGGTTGAAACCTGGGCTCCTGAAACCTTCAAGAACAGATCTGATAATACAAGGTGATGCGTGGCGCTAGATCATCATAAGCCTCGGGCTGTATTTTGTAATAGAGAGAGATGCTTTTCATTGTTTAAGAAGAAATGAAATAGAAAAAAAACAAACACCAAGGAAATTTAATAAACGACATCTCTGCATTCGGTGACTGCAATCCCAACGTGACTGGAGGTTTCCCTTAATACGTCCGGCTGTGTCTTACACTATTATTGATGTTTCAGAACAGCATGAATATTTGAAATTGACCAGGCTTGGGGTTCTGGAATTTATCTTGTATTGCTAATGGTGTTTATGATCAAGCTTACTTGACCAAAGGTGGGCTCTTTGTCCCTCTTAGAGCTGGGATTTGAAACCAGCAAATACACCTCCCTATATATAGCCTAATACAAATATAGCCAAGGTTGGCTCTTTCCATTACGGGGCAAGCCGTCTCTTAAGATGAGCAGCCATTTATTTGTATGTGTTCCATATCTTTTAAGATGACAGCCATTTATTTATTTTGATACTTAATGTTTATTTATTTATATATTATTTTTGTTTATTTAATATTTTAATGTATTTAATACTTATTTTGATATTTGATACATAACAGCATATTTCTGAAGATGACCAAGAATTTATTTGTATTTATATGTACTTGGCAAATAACTTTGAAGATGATCAGCCATTTTTATTTATTTACTGGACAGCATATCTCTTAAGCTGAGCAGCCATTTATTCATATTTTATTTATTTTTTTCGTGCCTTTCTCCCAATATAGGAGGCATGTGAACTTGTAATGCCTCAATGGTTGTTAAATATAAAATGAGTACTTACAAACCAAGCCAACCTACCCCAGTTGCAATTACAGAGCATCACCTTTTCTGAAAATTAAATCCTCCAAGAATGAACCAAAACAATCCTGCATTAATGGGAGGTTGGGTGGCTTTTCCTTCTGAATTCAGGGCCCAATGTTTTTGCAATATTGGATCATACAGAGCAGCAGCAGGGTGAGGTCTAATGCTATACTTGGAGCAGATCATGAAGGAGGCAGTCTGTCATCACTTAGGAAAGAAGGCTATGGTCACTCAAAGCGTGGATTTCTCAAAAACAAGTCTCATCTCTTTCTTCAGTTGAGTTACAAGTGAATGGCATGAGGGTTATCCAGAAAGTAAGGTTTCAAGATTTCTTTAAAATACAAAGAATATATTTTAATAAAACTTACATGGATTTTAGCATAGGTATTATATTTTTCCACATAATCACCATTCAGTTCAATACATTTTGTCATCCGTAGGGCATGTTTTTGATGCCTGTGCCATAGAAGTTTCCCTCCATCTTTTTCACCCAGTTTGTCACTTTGATTTTCACCTCCTCGTCGGAAAAGTGTTTTCCACCAAGGTGTTCCTTCAATTTAGTGAACGGATGATAGTCACTGGGTGATAGAGGGGTGGCTTAAATTATCCCAACCAAATAAAGTCAACAATTCTTGTGTTGCATGAGCAGTGTGCAGACACACATTGTCATGAAGAAAACGGACTCCCACCATCAGGATCCCATGACGTTTGTTTTGGATGGCCCGGCAAAATATTGTCATGGTCTCATAATACATTCCGTACCCATTTTGTCACATGCTGTCTTGATATTACGTCCGCTCCATGAACGAACGATTTCACAATGAATCTCAGTGGTGTACATACCCTTAGCATTTAGGTAGTGTATTACAGTGTAAATTTTGCACTTGGAGAGAAATTGAATGAGGATGCTCATCTCTAACCTTCACCATAACACCAGTCAATGAACTACTGACAACTGGCAGTGCTCATTCGCTTCTGCTGGCTTCCCGCTACACGGCAGTGATGCCAACTTCCCGTGAGAAAATTCCCTGTAAGAGCTACGTGCCTTGCTACCTTACTTTCCGGATAACTCTTGTAGATGCAGGGAATGCTGTGGATGCAACATGTCTTGATTTCAGTCAGTCCTTCAACAAAGTCCCCCATGACCTTACAAGCAGACTACTCAAATATGGGCTAGAGATGGATTTGTAACTGGTTAAGTGACTGAACCCAAAAGGGTACTTCTCTCCAATGGTTCCTTTTTTCATCCTGGAAAGGTGTGACTATTTGAGGGCATAAAGAGGATTCTGTCCTGGGCCTTTCGGAGCTGTTCAGGATCTTTATCAATGACTTTGATGGGAAGGCAAATGAAGTTTGCAGGTGAGACCGAATGGGGAGGGAGTGAATGCTCTAGGAAACAGAATCAGGATCCAAAAGAACCTCAAAAGATTAGAGAATTGATTGGCCAAAACTAACAAAATGTATTTCAACAAGGAGAAATGTAGAATACTTCATTTAGGAAGAAAAAATGAAATGCGGAAATACAGAATAGGATATTCCTGGCTCCACAACAGAGTTCCACGTGAAAGGGAGTCTTAGTGGAGAACAAGCTAAATATGAGCTAAGAGAGTGATGCTGTAGTTTAAAAAGCCAATGGGATTTTGGGTTGCATCAAAAAGCATCTAGTGTTCAAATTGAGGGAAGTCATGGTGCCTCTCTCTCCTGATTTGGTCAGAGTTCATGGCTCCTATGCCATGAACTCCGCTGGACTGGCCATGTTGTCCAAATGCCCAATCATCGCCTCCCAAAGCAGTTATCATACTCCCAACTCAATAACGGAAAACAGAATGTTGGTGGACAAGAAAAAAGATTGAAAGATAGGCTTAAAGTCAACCTTAAAGCCTGTGGCATAGACACAGAATGGGGAAGCCTTGGCCCTTTAGGTCAGCTGTGACCAGCAGTGCTGTGGAATTCAAAGAGGCACGAATGGAGGGCAAAAGGGAGAAACGTGCCAAGAGAAGGGTGCATCAAGCCAACCCGGACCAGGACCACTTCCATCTGAAAACCAATATTCTCACTGTGGGAAAACATGTGGATCAAGAATAGGGCTCCACAGCCACCTGTGGAGCCCCATTCTTCACTCACCACCAAGACACTGAACTTCATCCTCGGGCTACAAGGGATCGCCTAAGTAAGTAAAAGTCAGTAAGCCAGAAGAGGCAAAGACCACCAGTAATGCTCCTATGGCATCAACTCCGCTGGACTGGCCACAGTGTTTGCCCAATCACCATCTCCCAAAGCAGTTACTATACTCCCAACTGAAGAACAGAAAATGGAATGTTGGTGGACAGGAAAGATGAGATAGAAGTCAACCTTAAAACACTGGGAAGCTCTAGCCCTTGAGCCTTGAAACTGGAGGTCCGCTGTGACCAGCAGTGCTGTGGAATTCGAATGTTGGGCGAAAGGGAGGAACATGTCAAGAAGAAGAAGGCACATCAAGCCAACCCTGATCAAGACTGTCTTCCACCTGGAAACCGATGTCTTCACTGTGGAAGAACATATAGATCAAGAATAGGTCCCTAGACTCACTGCCAAGACCCTACACTTGAATCACCAGTGATGATGATACTTAATTAGGAGATCCCTCGTTGTCCAAGGAGGATTGTCTTCCAAGATCAGTTTACTGGTGGGTCCGTAGGTGACTGTGGAGCCCTGTTCTTGATCTGCATCTTCTGCAGTGAGGGCATTGATTTCCAGGTGGAAGGCGGTGCTGGTCAGGGTTGGCTTGACCCGCCTTCCTCTTGGCACGTTTCGCTCTTTTGCCCTCCATTCGTACCTCTTCAAATTCTACAGCACTGCTGGTCACAGCTGGAACGCTCATGGGTCAGGGCTTTCCAATTTTCAGTGTCTATGCTAGAGTTTTTAAGGTTGGCTTTGAGCCCATCTTTAAATCTCTTTTCCTGTCCTCAGACATTCCATTTTCCGTTCTTGAGTTCGGAGTAGAGCAACTGCTTTGGGAGACAGTGGTTGGGCATCTGGACAATGTGGCCGGTCCAGCGGAGTTGATAGCGGAGGACCATTGCTTCAATGCTGGTGGTCTTTGCTTCTTCCAGCACATTGACATTTGTCCGCTTGTCTTCCCAAGAGACTTGCAAGATTTTCCGGAGGTAACGCTGATGGAGTTGCATGTGACGTCTGTAGATAATCCACATTTTGCATGCATATAGCAGGGTTGGGAGGACAAGCATCTTGGTATCCCTACGGATGTCCCGGTCCTCAGGCACTCTGTGCTTCATTTGGAAGAATGCTGCACTCACAGAGCTCAGGCGGTGATGGATTTCAGTGTCAATGTTGACTTTAGTGGAGAGGTGGCTGCCAAGGGAGCGGAAATGATCAACATTCATCTGTGGTGGGGATGTAAGTTAATTAAGAAGTACTGGATAACAATACATAAATACACACAAAAAATCCTTGGAGTGAAACTTGATCTGAAACCGGAATTTTATCTTTTGAACATTATAAATTGGAATTTAAGCGAAAATGAAGAGAAATTGTTTCTTTATATCTGAGCTGCAGCAAGAATGACAATTGCCCAAAGATAGAAAGAAAAAGACCCTCCACATGTCAGCTGCATCCCTTTCAAAGATTTTGTCTCTAATCGCCTTCTTGTCCAGATGCATTAGGGTATTTGTTGACCCATCAAAGTACTGAAGGAGCAAGGCTTGCCAGTATTGTGCCCATCCTCCCTGCTTATACTGCTCCATCATGCATTGCTTTGTTATACTCTTGTCCTCCATTCCCAGGAGCCTCTTCCCATATAAGATGTTAAGCTTATGCATTCTGGCCTTAAGTGAGGGAAGATCCAATTTGAATGCAATATTCCTGCTTCTTGGCAGGGGGTTGGACTGGATGGCCCTTGAGGTCTCTTCCAATTCTATGATTCTATGAGTGATAAGCAACCTCAGATATGCAGATGACACCACTCTGATGGCCTAAAGCGAGGAGGAGCTGAGGAGCCTTCTAATCAAGGTGAAAGAAGAAAGCGCAAAAGCTGGGTTGCAGCTAAACATAAAAAAAACCAAGATTATGGCAACAAGAATGATTGACAACTGGAAAATAGAGGGAGAAATCGTGGAGGCCGTGACTTTGTATTTCTAGGTGCAAAGATTACTGCAGATGCAGACTGTGGCCAGGAAATCAGAAGACGCTTACTTCTTGGGAGGAGAGCAATGTCCAGTCTCAATAAAATAGTAAAGAGTAGAGACATCAGACTGGCAACAAAGATCCGCCTAGTCAAAGCCATGGTATTCCCTGTAGTAACCTACGGATGTGAGAGCTGGACCTTAGGGAAGGCTGAGCGAAGGAAGATCGATGCTTTTGAGCTGTGGTGTTGGAGGAAAGTTCTGAGAGTGCCTTGGACTGCGAGAAGATCCAACCAGTCCATCCTCCAGGAAATAAAGCCCGACTGCTCATTGGAGGAAAAGATACTAGAGACAAAGTTGAAGTACTTTGGCCACATCATGAGGAGACAGAAAGCCTAGAGAAGACAATTATGCTGGGGAAAGTGGAAGGCAAAAGGAAGAGGGGCCGACCAAGGGCAAGATGGATGGATGGCATCCTTGAAGTGACTGGACTGACCTTGAAGGAGCTGGGGGTGGCCACGGCCGACAGGGAGCGCTGGCGTGGGCTGGTCCATGAGGTCACGAAGAGTCAGAGACGACTGAACGAGTGAACAACAGTCCATGAGTGAGAAGAGTGATGATGATGAATGCCTTCATAGGTTGCCTGGTGTGCTTGTCTTTCCACGCTTGAAAAAGTTACTTTTTTAGGTTGCCATCTCGAGAACTTCCTATAAAGAGCATTGGAACTATAAACAAAAAAAAGTCACTTCTAAGGATGCTTTCCCTACATGTTTTTGAAGGTTGTTTTTTTTTTTTAAAAAAAATGCTCTGCTGGCCCTTTAAATCCAGTGTCCAAGTGGATGCCGGGAAGTGTAGTCCTCTATTCCCTGCTATTTTTGATTCTCCCGCCTCGCACGGCGCCTTTCCCGCCCCGCCTCTACCCTTTCCCAGCATGCCTTTCTCCGGCCTTCCCTCTGGTTGGCTAGTGGCGGCGGGCGGCGCATGCGCAGTACCCAAAGCCCGGGTTGGAGTCGCTTCCTCTTAACGCCGCCGCGAAGAGCAGAGCCGAGCAGAGCCGGGCGGCGGAAGAAGCGAAGGCAGTCCGAGCGAAGCATTGCCTCGCGGTTCGGTGAGTGCCACAGCTCGCGGGCGTGACGTCAGAGCGCCCGGGGTGACGTCACCTTTTGCGTCCGTGACGCAAACGCGCTGAGGAAAAAAGAGCGGAAATAGTCCCTTTTTGAGGGACTAAGGCGGAACTGGCATTGGAACATATATTGGCATCATCTAGACTATTTTAAAGAAATATTATTATTCATGCAATTCTTAAAATAGTTATTTAGGCTTTTTAAAATATAGTTATTTAAATTATTCTTTAAAATATTAATTATACTATTTAAAAATATTGTTATTTAGGCTATTATTAAAATCTTGTTATTATTTATACTATTTGAAATATTTAAATTATTCTTTAAAATATTAATTATACTATTTTCAAATATTATTATTATGTATGCTATTTTAAAATTATTGTTATTTAGGCTATTATTAAAATCTGGTTATTATTTATACTATTTGAAATATTTAAATTATTCTTTAAAATATTAATTATACTATGTTTTCAAATATTATTATTATGTATGCTATTTTAAAATTGTTATTTCGGCTATTATTAAAATATTGTTATTATTTATACTATTTGCAATACTTAAATTATTTAAAATATTAATTATACTATGTTTTCAAATATTATTATCATGTATACTATTTTAAAATTATTGGCATTTAGACTATTCAAAAATCTTGTTATTATCTAGACTATTTGAAATATTTAAATTATTCCTTAAAATATCAATTATAATATATTTTCAAACATTATTATTATGTATACTATTTTAAAATTATTGTTATTTAGACTATTTAAAATCTTGTTATCATTTATACTATTTGCAATATTTAAGTTATTCTTTAAAATATTAATTATACTATATTTGTAAATATTATTGTTATTATGCATACTATTTTAAAATTATTGTTATTTAGACTATTTAAAAATCTGGTTATTATTTATACTATTTGAAATATTTAAATTATTCTTTAAAATATTAATTATACTATATTTTCAAATATTATTATGTATGCTATTTTAAAATTATTGTTATTTAGGCTATTATTAAAATATTGCTATTATTTATACTATTTGCAATATTTAAATTATTCTTTAAAATATTAATTATACTATATTTTCAAATATTATTATGATGTATACTATTTTAAAATTGTTAGACTATTTAAAAATCTTATTATTTATACTAGTTGAAATATTTAAATTATTCTTTAAAATATTAATTATACTATGTTTTCAAATATTATTATTATGTATACTATTTTAAAATTATTGTTATTTAGACTATTTAAAAATCTTGTTATTATCTAGACTATTTGAAATATTTAAATTATTCTTTAAAATATTAATTATACTATATTTTCAAATATTATTATTATGTATACTATTTTAAAATTGTTGGTATTTAGACTATTTAAAAATCTTGTTATTATCTAGACTATTTGAAATATTTAAATTATTCCTTAAAATATTAATTATACTATATTTTAAATTATTATTATCGTTACTATGTATACTATTATAAAATTATTGTTATTTAGACTATTTTAAAATCTTGTTAATAATTTAAATATTTCAAATAGTATAAATAATAACAAGATTTTTAAATAGTCTAAATAACAATAATTTTAAAATAGTATATATAATAACAGTAATATTTTAAAATATAGTATAATAATTAATATTTTAAAGAATAATTTAAATATTGCAAATAGTATAAATAAGCCCAGTCGTGTCTGACTCTGGGGGTTGGTGCTCATCTCCATTTCTAACCCGAAGAGCCGGCATTGTCCGTAGACACCTCCAAGGTCAAGTGGCCAGCATGACTGCATGGAGCGCCATTACCTTCCCTGATCTCCTCACATTTGCATGTTTTCGAACTGCTAGGTTGGCAAATGCTGGAGCTATCAGCGGGAGCTCACCCCACTTCCTGGATTCAAACCGCCGACCTTTTGGTGAGCTAGTTCATCAGCTCACTGCGCCACTGGGAGCTCCTAGTATTATTATTAATAAACAAATATTTTGAAAAATATTGCTATTTTCACTATTAGCATTTAGAAAACTATTTCAAAATTAAAATTATTACTACTTATAGCATGCCTTTCTCTCTTACAATTTTGGGTTTCTCTCATGATATTAAAAGCAAGGCAGTTTCAAACTTCCAACATAGAAATATTAAAATATAATTAAATCTAGAACTGTTAAAGTAAACTAGTTAAAATCACATAAAATTGCTCACATAATTAAAACACTTCATGTCCCAAAAACCCTAACCTTTAGCAGCCTATACTTCTGTGTGACTATAATTCCTACCATTTTGGTTCCCCAAAATGCATTTTGGTACATTTCTTTATGTAAATTATGCTGCACATAATTTGAATACTTTATATATAAAAATTTTCCCTTTAAGATGCAACGTGTAACATCTGACCAAAGCATTAGTACATCATTCCTTCTTCAATATAAATGTGTTTTGCACAATATATTGGGATGCAATTTGTAACTGATCAAAACATTATCAACAGCATGTCTTCTTCCATACAACATGAATGCGCAAAGTTATTAAAATACACTGTTTAAAATGATCTCCAGGCTCTGTGTATGAAGTGAATATGAAACATAAATGAATTTCGTGTTTAGACTTGGGTCCATCACATTATGAATATGCAATTAAAAAAAAACGGACAAAAATCCAAATACAGAGTATTTCTGATCTCAAGCATTTCAGATAATAATAAATACTCAAACTGTAGCCGTGAAGGAATGATAACCCTTTTCTTATTCTCCTTTTGTCGGCGGGTGAAGACTCTTTTTTTAATTCAAACCGTCGTTTTGAACTGAAGGCTGTAAGTCTGGCATTGGGTCAAAAATAAAGTCTGGTTTCGCTCTTAAACAGTATATTTTTAATATATATTTAATGCATAAGCCTCCTTGAGTCCTGGAATAATAATCCTGCAACATTGTGTGTTGCGGTCCTTCATTACGCATTGTGATGATGCCTTGCAGTTTCATCTTGTGCAATGGAACCTAGTCAGTGGCCTTGCATAATGTTGCCATTTGTGTGGGAATAGTGTACTTAATGCTGTTGTGTGTGCATGTATGTGTGTACACGCACACACATGCTACACTCGGAGGATGTTGAACTGCAGCCGACATATATCAGCAGGGATTGTATTTCATTTATTGTATTGGCTTCTGGGATGAATCCAACAGACCCCAGTTTGGTTCTTGTAGCTTCAAGGCTACAAGAACCAAACTTGCAACCAAGCTGAGAAGAAGTAGCTAATGTGCTCACTTAATTATAGTTATGTTGTGGTTTTCTATCAATAAAAAGTACCGTAATAGCAAAAAACGCATATTGAACTAAAAATATTAACATAAAACACTGTGGAATGAATGCAGTTTTACACTGTTTGATCTGCCATGGCTTAGTACTATAGGTTCCTGGAGGCGGCACTTTCACATGGTGTAATAATATATGCTCCCTCCTTCATCATCATTATCATCATCATCATCTTAAAAATAAATGTATTACTTTATTCTCCTTGTGGCTTCATGCATTCACCCTTCTTAATAATAATAACAACTCTCCTTGTGGCTTCATGTAGTCTCCCTTCTTCCTGATGATGATGATAATAATAATAACTTTATTATTGTCCCCTCCTTGTGGCTTCATGCATGCTTTCTTCATCATCACCATCATAACAACTAAAGCAATAAATGTATTACAGGCATCTCCTTATGGTTTCATGTAGGCTCCCTTCATAATAATAATAATAATAATAATAATCTTTATTTATATACCGCCCTATCTCCCTGAGATGACTCGGGGCAGTTTCCAACATAGGGCAAAACATTCAATTGCTGAACAACACAAAAAAACATTAAAAAATGAAATATTATAAAACATAATCATATTAAAACAATCACAACGTTTAAAGGCCAGTTTCAGGTTTTTACTCCATCAGTCAGGATTCAAAATACCAATGGGCACAATTACAAAGTGGACTTAGTTGGCCATGAAAGGGCTGGGCAAGGTCTAGTGCAAGGGCAGCAAATTAGCATAGGGCCAGCGAAGTGGATAAAATGCAGAGCAGGGTCCTAGCTTATGGCCAGGGATGGACCTGGGGCTATATAATAATAATAATAATAATGGTGATGATGATGATGATGATGATGATGATGCATGTATTACTCGCCTCTCCTTGTGGCTTCATGTATGTTCCCTTCTCCATAATTTTTATTCTTATTCATAATATTATATTTCTTACCTGCCTCTCCTCACGGCTTGAGCCAGGGCACAACGTAGTCCTTAAACATTATATGAAAAAGTATTTCTATGTTGTACATATATTAAAATACACAGAACAAAATTAAAATACATTAAAGCAGGACATGAGTTTAAAATTCATCGCTAAGAATGGGCTGTATTATCTTCTCTTCTCCTAGGATTCCATAGCTGTCAGCTTTCCTGGCAGTTCAAGTGGTGTCAAAACTGCATCGTTTCTCTAGTGTCAATGTATCCTGAGTGTCTTGCATATGATGGCCATTCAGAGTGACACCCATCGCCCTCTTTTCTTTTCTTAAAGCCAAGACAGGCTGACTCGTGATTTCCTTTTCCTAGGAACAGCTGAAAGTGGCTTTGCAGGCCAAGCGCCATGAAGAACCAAGAGGGAGACAGCCCTTCCCAAAGGAACCTCTGCCCAACTCTGGAGGATGGAGGCTTCACAGAAGGGACTGTGGGAGGCAGTGAGGGACTGTCCCCTTCGAAGCCTCCAGTGGATGGAAGCCTTGAGAACCCGGTTGGTGAGAAACAGAGCAAAAAGGAGGAGGGTATGTGTCCTTGCCACCTATTATTATTGGCTGCTGTACTTTGCCAGAGTGGCTTCCAAACATTTTCTCTGCCTGGGTTGCATCATACCGCTCCTGGCCCATGCCTTGTTATTCTCATAACATTGTGTAACACGATTTTTGTCCCTGGGTTATAAATGTCATTATTTCTTAATTGGTTCTATCACAAAACATGGGAAAAGTTTATTGAACTGCAAAAACTTTGTTTTTGTGGGAGGGACATCCTGCAGCACATTTTACTATAGTTTTTCAATGAATGTCTCTTAGAGTCGCAACCAAGTCAGCATAGGGGTTGCTGTGAGTTTTCCGGGCTGTATGGCCATGTTCCATAAGCATTCTCACCAGACGTTTCACCCATATCTATGGCAGGCATCCTCAGAGGTTGTGAGGTTTGTTGGAAACTAAGCAAGTGGGGTTTATATATCTGAGGAGTGTCCAAGGTGGGAGAAAGAACTCTTGTCTGTTGGAGATAGGTGTAAATGTTACAATTGCCCGCCTTGATTAGCATTTAATGACCTAGTAGTTTCAAAGTCTGGCTTCTTACTGCTTGGAGGAATCCTTTTTGGGAGGTGATTAGCTGGCCCTGATTGTTTCTTGTCTGGAATTCCCCTGTTTTTGAGTGTTGTTCTTTCTTTACTGTTTTGATTTTAGAGTTTTTTAATTTATAGAGTTTTTAAATTTTCAAAGCCCTCAAACCAAAGAAAGGATTTGCTGTCGAATGTAATGCACAGCAGCAAAAAGTGCCCTCTTTGTCATTTGGCCAAATGGGTTGCTGCCTGCTTAGAATTCCTTCTTTAAACATAAAAGTGTTAGAACAGCGATGGAAAAGAAAACCTTGGGGGGATGGGCATCTATGATGTATAATGAATCCACTTCAACTGCCTTGGTTCAATTCAATGCTAAGGAGTCATGGGGACTGTAGTTTTGAAAGGTCTTGAATCTCTGCCAAAGAAGGCTGATGCCACACCAAACTACAAATCCCAGGATCTCATAGCATTGAGCCAGAGTCATTAAATGAGAGGTGAGGTCCCTCAAAGAGGAGCTCCTGAAGCAGTTTCCCCTTTTGCTTGGGCTCGACATTAAGATGATACTGTGTGACACGGATATGATAAGCACCCTGATTTTGGTAAAAGGGATTTAGGCCAAAAAAGGTGCACATTAGACTTGACTGAATGGGGCCCACGGGCTGTATCTCCCTCAGCACCCTTGGCCTGCGATGTTTCGGAGGAGCTGAGCCGGCAACTGGAGGACATCCTCAGCACGTACTGCATGGACAGCCAGCAGGAGGAGAGCGGTCAGAGCGAGGTGGCTGAGGTGGAGGAGGCAGAGAAGGGCCGGAGCGAGTCCCCCAGGAATGGGGAGCCGGAGCAGATCAGCCCTGAGATCAACGGGGAGAAAGAGGGGCCCCGGGGACACGGCGACGACAGTGGGGAGCGGGACCCCAAGCGCAGCCAGGAGAAGAGGAAAGCCAAGGGGCTCGGTAGGCGACACTGGGCTCACAGCAGCCCTGCCCTCTTCCTTGATCTGGAATACATTTGTTGTTGTGAATGAGTCATTTTTTAGCATCCTCAATGTTGAAATGAATGCAGCTTGACCTCACTTTCACTTCTAGTGCTATGGAACCATGGAAGCTGTAGTTTGGGGAAGCAACCCAGCACTTTTTGCAGTGAAAGCTAAAGACTTTGTCAAACTACAACTTAATATTAATTATTATTATTTTGGGTTGTAGGTTTTTCTGGTTGTATGGCCATGTTCTAGAAGCATTCTCTCCTGATGTTTCGCCTGCATCTGTGGCAAAACCTCACAACCTCTGAGATTGCTTGCCACAGATGCAGGCGAAATGTCAGGAGAGAATGCTTCTAGAACATGGTCGTACAACCCGAAAAACCTACAACAACACAGTGATTCCGGCCATGAAAGCCTTCGACAATACAATTATTATTTTAAAAAACCTTTTTTATAGACCACTCTATCTCCCCAAAGGGACTCAGGACGGTTTCCAATGTGTACGGCAAGCATTCAGTGCCAAAAAGAAAAGTCCTAAATTGTTCAGGCACTACCTGTCCATCTCCACCTATTAGCTGACATGGGCTCTTAGATCTACTAAGAGGCCCTTCTCACGCTCCCCCCACCGTCCCAAGTGCGGCTGGTGGGAACGAGGGAGAGGGCCTTCTCGGTGGTGGCCTCCCGCCTTTGGAACGCCCTCCCCAGAGAGTTAAGACAAGTCCCGTCACTTGCCTTCTTCCGCAAGGACCTGAAGATCTGGTGGTTTCAGTAGGCCCAGTCCTCTTATAGCTATTCAGCAAGCCTTGGAAATAAATATCTCTAGGTCATACCCTGACCATCAGACAGGACCATGCTTGCACTTTATCTACTCCCCAGGCCCTAGTCTACTTCGTTGTTCTAGCCCAGCCCTCTCGTAGTTGTTGAGGCCCAGTCTGGAATTCTGCCCATTGGTAACTGAACCTGCCCAATGGAAATTAGTACTGGACTGGTTTTTAATTTTAAATATGTACGACTGTTATATAATATTATGTCTTTGTTTTGTAATGATTATTCCGTACATTTTTATGTCGTAATTGTAGTGCTTTACCTATGTTGGAAACTGCCCCAAGTCCCCTGGGGAAATAGAGCAGGATACAAATAAAAGTTTATTATATATTATATTATTATTAAAGCCATACAAACAATTTACATCAAGACAGAGCACATTAGACAATGTAGAACAACCTAACTGTAACTTAATAAACAAAATGGCAAAAAATAAAAACATCATAAAATACAAAAACACACTAAAAATAAAAATATAAAATTGATTACATCAGAGCTCCATCAGGCGAGGTTCAACAATACCAATGGACAGGAGTACTAACAACAGACGTGAACAACTATAAAAGGGCTGGGCGAAGGGTAGTGTAAACTTTCATAATCCATAGCATTGAGCCTTGACAAATAAACTGGGATCAAACTGCATTCATTCAGCACTGCCTATCAGGTCTGCACAACCTGTGGCCTTGTAGGTGTTTGGGCCTTCAACTCCCAACCCTCTTGCCAGCTTGTCCAGTGGTTAAGAATTCTGGGAGCTGAAGTCCAAAACACCTGGATGTCTAATTCAGATGCACTTTGCACCTCTAGTTTCTCTGCCTATTGAACTCTTTCATAGGTCAGGTTTTTTGGCTGCTATCAGCTCAACTTCTTTCTGGGGCTCTTTTCACGTTACTCCATCATAGCACTTTGATGCCATTTTGGGGATCCTGGGATTTGTAGTTTCATAAGGCATGTTGCATTTTCCTGGCAAGGAATTTGCAGTACCTCACAATGCTACAATTTCCAGGATCCCATAGGATGCAACCATGACAGTTAAACCAGGATCACAACATGATGCAGAACAATTGGCAGAAAAGAAATGAAGTAACTTTATTTCCAAATTGCAGAACACTTACTCTCTGTGAAATTAGACTTTCTGCCATACAGCTGTTGAAGTGGGTTTTTTTCTCAGTAAAAGCCCAGCTCTTCTGCCTGATTAGAAGATAATTGTGTGGTGAAACAGGAATATCTTCCTCTTGAAAAGCTTTTGCATTTTTTCCATTTTCTCTGACTTTCCATTTGATCCCCTTTCCCTCCTAAATGCTGTAGGGTGGAACTTCCTGAGCATGGAAAAAGTGCCTTTTTGGACTGCCACTATCACTATTTCCCAGCCAGCATTTTGGGAATGGTGGTCCAAAAAGCAGGACCTTCCCAAAACCCAAAATCACCTCTAATAATTCTTTTTCTGGAGAAAACCCGATGAGATTTTGACACATAAGTTTTGACACACAAGTTGAAGGCCAGAATGACTCTTTACTTGACCATAAAATGACATATACAGTATAACCCTAGGTTATGCCTGGATGTGTCCGCAATGGGATTCTGCCTTTGAAATACAAGGCAGTCCCCACATTACGAACAAGATAAATTCTATAGGTTTGTTCTTAAGTTGAATTTAAAAGTAAGTTGGAACAGGAACATTTTGTAAGTGTAGCTCCAGCTTGTGTGCATGTGTGTAGATATATAAGCTTTGGAGAGCATAGGTAAGGGTGAACACCCCTGTGGTGTTTGCTTTGCTGTCTGTCTGTTTGCTTTGCCACACTTTCTGCCCCTGTGATAATTGGATTTGAGACAATTTGGTTTATTGTGGAAACAAAGATTAGGGTTTTTCTCTGTGTCAGGAGCAACTTGAGAAACTTCAAATCGCTTCTGATGTGCGAGAATTGGCCGTCTGTGAGGATGTTGCCCAGGGACACCCAGATGTTTGATGTTTTACCATCCTTAAGGGAGGCTTCTCTCATGTCCCCGCATGGGGAGCTGGAGCTGACAGAGGAAGCTCAACCCTCTTTCCCCAAATTTGAACCGCAGTCCTGCCGGCACAAGGGTTTAACCCATTGCACCACCGGGGACTCCCTACAAGGATTAGTGATAAAGCTTCAGTGGAGACCCCTTTTCTCCATGAGAATAACTCTTCCAGCAGTGGATTTCCCTTCAGAGGGGTAGATTCCTCTTACTTCCTGTTGTCTCAGCTCTGTTCTTAACTAGGAATTGTTTGTAAGTCGGATGTTTGTAAAACAGACTGCCTATACAGTCTTTCCGTGTCTTCATTCCAGTGTGGCCGAAAGCATCTCTGCTTCATCACTTTGTTTTCCAGGTAAGGAAATCACACTCCTGATGCAGACGCTCAACACTCTCAGCACTTCAGAGGAGAAGCTGGCAGCCCTCTGCAAGAAGTACGCTGAGCTGGTTAGTTCTGAAAAGGGAAAAGGGATAGACTGGGGGAAGGGAAGGCGGCAGGGTCCTCAGTGTTGGGGCAGGCTGGTCTTGTTCTTATTTACTAGGAGATTGTGATGGTATTTGTGCTTAAATCTTTCTGATTTGGGATAGATCGCAATTATTTCTAAGCCAGAAAGAAAAACAAGATGATGATGATGATGTTTTTAAATGCTTAAAGGTAAAGGTTTCCCATGACCTTGAGCCTAGTCATGTCCAACTCTGGGGGGTGATGCTCATTTCCATTTCTAAGCCGAAGAGCTGTCTCTAGACACTTCCAAGGTCATGTGGCCAGCATGATTGTATGATATGCTGTTACCTTCCCACAGAAGCAGTACCTATTGATTTGCTCATATTTGCATGTTTTCGAACTGCTAAGTTGGCAGAAACTGGGGGTATCAGCAGGAGCTCATCCTGCTCCCCAGATTCGAACCACCAGTCTTTTGGTCAGCAAGTTCAGCAGCTCAGTGGGTTAGCCCGCTGCGCCACCAGGGGGCCCAATGCTTAATATATATTAAATGCTTAATATATTTTAATTTAATTTTAATGTTATTGGAATTGTATGTTGTTAAGGCATTGAATAATTGCCTATATGTAAGCTTCCTTGAGGCCCCTTCGGGGTAGAGAAATGCGAGGTATAAATAGGGTAAATGAATAAATAAATGATGATGATTTATTTAGCAGGATCCCTGGGATAAGCGTAGGCCTGCTTTGTTCTCATCCACTAGAAGGTTATGATGGTATTTGCTTAAATCTTCATTATTTAAGAGAAATCTCAATTATTTCAAATCCAGAAAGATGATGATGATGATGATGATGATGATGATGATGATGATGACGACAATAATACATTTAGCAGGGTCCCTGTGGTGAGTGCAGGCTGGCCTCATTCTCACCTATTAGAAGGTTCGGATGGTATTTGTCTGTGAGCTTAAAATAAATCTTTGTGATTTGGCCAAGTCACAATTATTGCTAAGCCAGAAAAATGATTACGACAACAATGATTATGATTACATTAATAATAATAATAATAATCCCCCCCCCCCATGGGTGGCACCTTGTTGTGGTCCCAGTGGTCATTGGCACATTGGGTGGCATTTGGAAACAATAAACATTGACAAAATCAAGATCTGTCAACTGCAAAAGGCCACCTTACTTGGATCTGTGCGCATCATTCGAAAATACATCACACAGTCCTAGATGCTTGGGAAGTGTTCGACTTGTGATTTTGTGATACGAAATCCAGCATATAGATCTCGTTTGCTGTGACATACTGTGTTTTTGTGTCAGTAAAATAATAATAACAGCAACAACAATAATAATAATAATAATGGCTCAAGGTGGGGCACAACTTAGTTAAAATACATCAATAAAAGCACACATTAGAACATATATATTAAAACACAAGACATTGCAAGCCTTATCGGGTAAATCTGCTGTTGTATCCAAAGTCCACTTTTAGGGTTTATGGGTTTTGTGGCTCAAATGCAGGATGATTTTGAAATGCAAAGGCTCTTTAGCCAGAGGCATTCAGGTCGTTTGCTCCTGGTTCCCCACTTCCTAAATCTGTAGCAGGCCAAATCACTTACTGTGTTGGTAGTGGCCATGGGCTGCTCCCCTTCAACTTCATTGGGGATTTCACATCCAAGTACTAACCAGGGTTGACCAAGTCAGTCAAAATCTGGTGCCTTTAGGGGACTTAGGTCTTCACATTCCTTTCATAGGTCTTCCATGTCTCCCCCTTTGTGTACTGACTAGCTTGGAAACACTTTTAGCTCACAGCATCTTGGAAAGCTTAGAGAAGACAATGATGCTTGGGAAAATGGAAGGGGAAAGGAAGAGGGGCCGACCAAGGGCAAGATGGATGGATGGTATCCTTGGGGTGACTGGCTTGACTCTGAAGGAGCTGGAGGTGGTGACGGCCAACAGGGAGCTCTGGCATGGGCTGGTCCATGAGGTCACAAAGAGTCGGAAGCGACTGAACGAATAAACAACAACAAATCTTGTAGGTCTGTTGGTTCCTCACGACTGTTCCCTCGTTTCTTTCTTCTCCTTCTTCCTGCCAGTTGGAAGAGCACCGAAACTCCCAGAAGCAGATGAAGATCCTGCAGAAGAAGCAGAGCCAGATGGTGCAGGAGAAGGACCACTTGCGGAGCGAACACAGCAAGGCCATCTTGGCCCGGAGCAAGTTGGAAAGTCTTTGCCGGGAGCTGCAGCGGCACAACCGTACCCTCAAGGTGAGCCAGGTCTTCCTCACCTTGGCAATGGCTGCTGCTTGCCTTACCTCTTGCAATCCAAACAAACCGGGCTGCAAGGGTTTACCAGAGCCTTGCATGGTGGCTCTGAACGCAGGCAACTCCATCTGAGTTTGAAATCGGAGCAGACTCAGGAAGACGACCATGAATCTCCAGGAGAGATTCCCACACAGAAAGCCACAGCTGACAGGCTGTCCCCAAGTTACAAACATCCGACTCCTAGTTAAGAACAGGAGTCATTATGACTGAAAAGTGTTGTACTGGGTGGTCTCTGGGGATCTCTTCTAACTGTGATTGTATCACAGGGTTCTCTTGGCAAGACTGGCTCATAGGCGGCAGTTTGTCATTGCCTTCTGAGGCTGAGAGAGTGTGATTTGCCTCTTTAGGTTGCCCAGTGGGTTTCTAGCAGGTGTTATCATGGTACGAAGGCCTCCGGACTTTCCAGGGTCCGAATTGTAAGCGCCAGGTTTGCATTTCTCCTTCTCTCACCGCCTTGTTTCTCTGTCCCTTTCCAGGAGGAGGGTGTCCAAAGAGCCCGCGAAGAGGAAGAGAAGCGGAAGGAGGTGACGTCCCACTTTCAAGTGACGCTTAATGACATCCAGCTGCAGATGGAGCAGCACAATGAAAGGAACTCCAAACTGCGGCAGGAGAACATGGAGCTGGCAGAGAGGCTCAAGAAGCTCATTGAGCAGTATGAGCTGCGAGAGGAGGTGAGTGAACTTGAGACACATAAGGATTGGGGGAGCAGGGGAGACCTCCCATTTGCTCTAGGGCTATGGATAGGTTTGTAATTTTAAATGCTGTTGATATTTAGTTCTGTTTTAATGTATGTATAATTTTTGGTTTAAAATTGTGTTGTGAACCACTTTGAGTTTCTTCGTTAGAGAGAAAAAGCAGGGTATCAATAATAGTAATAATAACGTAATAATAATAAGTAACAAGGCTTCTGTTTCATTGTAAACAAAAAGATATAATTTAATCTATTCGCTTTTCCGTAAGCCACTTTGAGTCTCTTTTTTAGACAGAAAAAGGGTATAAATAATAAGAATACGGTAATAATAATAAGTAATAAGGCTTCTCTTTCATTGCAAACAAAAGGAAGATGTAATTTATTGTATTTGCTTTTCTGTAAGCTGCTTTGAGTCTCTTTTTTAGAGAGAAAAGGTAAAAGTTTCCCCTTGACATTAAGTCTAGTTGTGTCTGACTCTGGGGGATGGTGCTCATCTCCATTTCTAAGCCGAAGAGCCGGCGTTGTCCATAGATACCTCACAGCAACCCACTGCTTTTAGTCTCTTTCTTAAAGAGAAAAAGCAAGGTAATAATAATAGTAATAATGTGGGAATAGTAATAATAATACTTTAATACTAATTCTACTACTACTACTAATAGGACATTTCAATCAAAAGGAGGGTATAATTATAGGAGACACTTGACAGGAAAATCCGAGTCTGAGAATCCCAATGGATGGTGGTGTCGTAATTTGCAAAGGACTAGTAATAATATGACACAGATCTGCCTCTCCTTGTAAAAATTAGCACTTTCTCAGACATAAATTGAAGTGGGATCATACCACTATTATTATGTAGTATGAAAGGAACCCATTATCGTTGACCCCTCCCTGCCATTCTCATCACTTTGAAAATGAGTCCAATTTGCTCTGGCACAGGAGAGGGCAATAATTTGTTCACTTTAGAGTAGGACCTCCATATCTCTGGAGTTTGTGTGGAGGCTCAAACCCACAGATAATAGCAAACCCCATTAAAGTGAAGGACCTCCATCCTGAGAGTACTATAGAGTCGCACTAGAGGATCTAGAAAATCCTTAGAGAGGAGCTGTTATGTTGGGTGTGGGTAAATGAGACCGCAGAGGCTGGTCCGGTAGATATGGGGGGGTCATTCTAGCCTTTCCTTGGGGCTCTTAGAAACGGCCTGATGCTCGTGTTTCCTTCCTGCAGCACATTGACAAGGTCTTCAAGCACAAGGACCTGCAGCAGCAACTGGTGGATGCCAAGCTGCATCAGGCGCAGGAGATGCTGAAGGAAGCCGAGGAGCGGCATCAGCGGGAGAAGGACTTTGTGAGTCTCTGCTCTTCAGGTTGCATCGACCCGAGTCTCATGTGCTGTCTAATCTAATGCACACCTCCATTTTTAAAAAAATCTGAAACCAAAACAACTGTTTGCTGCTGAATGTGATGTGCAGTGGCAGAAAGGGCACTCTTTGTCATTTGGCCCCAAAATGTGTGCATTACAGTTACTGCGTGCTTAGAATTCCTTCTTTCAAAACAAAAGTGTTAGAACACCAAAGTTTCCAGCAATGGAAAAGAAAACCTTGGGGTGCATCTATGCTGCAGAATGAATATACCTTAACTGCCTTGGTTCAGTATTATGGAGTCATGGGGGTTGTAGTTTAGCAAGGTCTTGATCCTTTTCTGCTAAAGAATGTGGATGCCTTGCCAAACTATAAATCCCAGCATGGCATAGCATTGAACATGACATTAGAGATGAGGTCCCTCAAAAAGGAGCTCCAGCTTCTCCTGAAGCAGCTGTTGGGTGAGTAGGCTAATCAACAAAACACCCTCCTCATAAAAGCACAGCAGAGCAAATCTTTAGCAGCAACATGACCCAGCACCAGTAGCCCAAAGTGATAAAAAGAAGAAAAACACAGAGACCAATGTTATCTCTTCCATAGGAGGATTTTCTTTGTATTAAAATAATATAGTTGCACTATTTACAATAACAAGGTTTCCACAACACAAATAAAGTTATTTATACTTCCTTCTTTGCTTCCATGCTGGGCTTATTATTTTATTTATTTCCTATATTTATACCCCGCCTTCTTACCCCCGGGGGGGAGTCAGGGCGGCCTCACAGAAGCACCATACGATGCCAGCATCATAAAACATTCAACAATACATTTAAAATATTAAACAATAGATTAAAACAATAGATTAAAACATGCCTATTAAAAATCAGAATCCAAAATTCAAGTCCAGGTCAATTCATTTTCACAAGTTGCTTACGTCTTCTTTCACTTGCTGCCATTCACTGGTCGAACGCTTGGTCCCATAGCCAAGTCTTAAATTTACTTCTAAAGGACAGGAGGGAGGTGGTCAGTCTGATGTCCCTGGTGAGAGCATTCTACAGACCGGGGGGGGGGGGGGGGGGGGGGGGGGCACTGCTGAGAAGGTCCTGTCTCTCTTCTTCATGCAGAGAAACAGCTTCGCTCTCACAGAGCCTCCTCTCACAACAAACTTATACTGGACCTTCACTGGTCCTATTAAAATAGAAGAATAGAAACATGAGGGTTTACACACAAGGCCTTCAACCTGGGGCTTCTTTCACCGAAGCTTCTCACAGCAGGCCTTCTTCCACTTAGCCTTCTTACAGACTAAGACCTACCTCACACTGGGAGGCCTACCTCACAGACTGAGACTTTTCTCCCACTGAGGTTTACCTCAGACTGATGGCTACTAAGCTACAGGCGCACCCGCTTTTATAGAACTGTAGCTTTTGCTGAGTCATTGCATTCATTTAACCCTTTCAGTGCTTGACTCACATTTTTGTAATTAAAAATACCTAGTTAATTTTTAATACAGTAGAGTCTCACTTATCCAACCTTTGCTCATCCAACATTTTGTATTATCCAACACAGTCTGCCTCCTGCCCGGATCCACAGCTGTTTCAATACATTGTGATGTTTTGGTACTAAATTCGTAAATACAGTAATTACTACATAACGTTACCTTGTATTGGACGTCTTTTTCTGTTGATTTATTGTAAAACATGATGTTTTGGTGCTTAATTTGTAAAATTATAATGTAATTTGACGTTTAATAGGCTTTTCCTTAATCCCTCTGTATTATCCAACATTTTTGCTTATCCAACATTCTCTGTGCCCATTTATGTTGGATAAGTGAGACTCTACTGGAGTCTCTACTTTATTTGGACAGCAGGCATAAATAGCGCTTTGGATATGGAATTTGACTGGAATTGTGATATGGCGGTTAATACTGTTTTTATTGTTTTAATTTATGTTCTATTTATTGTTTTAATTGTTGTTATATTGCTTTGTTATATTTTATGGGATCAAATTGTGGCAAATGTAAGCCGTCCTGAGTCCCCTTCGGAGGTTGAGAAGGATGGAGCAGAAATGCTGGAAATAAATGCTGTATTTTTGACAGCAGCTTCCCCTTTGGCTTGGGGTCAGCACTAAAAGTCCCGTATGATGCGAATCTAATGCACACCCTCATTTTGTTCAGGTCAATTTGCCCAAAAAGGTGAGCATTAGGTTCAAGTCAATAAGTTATATCAGACCTATCCCAATTCCAGACCCAGCGTCTGTCCTGTCTAGGTTACGCCCATTTGAACAAATGGGACTTGTTATTCACTCCTGTGGCTTGGGGTCTCGCCCAGTGAGGGCCTGATGCTGGATCCAACTTTTACCATTTCCGGTGGTCAAATCTAGCTCTGGCCCCATTTGCCCCTTACTTAAGCCTTTAGGAGAATATTCGGGGGGGGGGGGGGTTCAGCAGCCTTCTCCCTGTGCCCCTTTGAATTGTGGGTCTATTCTTCTTTACTCTCCCCTCCATTCCTTGTCTTTTGCAGCTGCTGAAAGAAGCAGTTGAGTCCCAACGGATGTGCGAGTTGATGAAGCAACAGGAGACGCACCTGAAGCAGCAGGTGAGCCGTTACTTGGCACTTTCCTATCCTCTTCCTTCTAGCTTAAAGGGCTATAGGGCTGTGCTTGCGGGCATAGAAATGACTAGAGAAGTCTTCTCGATGTTATATATAGTGTTCTCAGTGCTACATTTATATATTGGTCATTTTACTACTTCGATGGGAGGATCCTCCTCCTCATCCAAAAATTGTAGACTAACAGCATCTTTCTATCTATCTATCTGATGTGGAAATTCAAATCTGGAAACTGATATCACAGTTGAAAATCAGCTTTATAGCAAACCCATTGCCGTTGATGTAACCAATTTCTCTTTTGATTAGGAAGTGTTCGTCTTTGCAGCAAAACTTTTTGCCACACAGTGCAATTGATTAACACAATCAGTTAAATATAATCTCAGCAGGAAGTATTTCTTGGGTATTCTTGGATCTTCTTTACTTCACCAAACTGTAAAAGTCCTTCAGGCACCTCACAAAGCAGATCTCCTCCTGACATGCTTTAGGAGGCAGAATGGGCAATTGTTTTAGATTTATTTATTTATTTTGTGTCTAAAGCATTGCATAAATAAACAAGTATAAACTGATAAAATAGAGGGAACACAAGCAGCTAATTAAATTTAGGCCAAAAAGGGCAACGGCGACTGCATTGTCTGTAGCTTTAAACAGTTCTTCCTCTGTACATGAGGCAGGGCATTGTGGGCAAGCATACAGTTGCTGAGTTGTTTGTTCTGCTCCACAGTCGTACAATAGTAAATTACACTATGTAACAAAATTTGAAAAATAATATGTTCCTGGTTTGGAAGTTTTACTAAAAGTAAAGGTTTCCCTTGACATTCAGACTAGTTGTGTCTGTTTCTGCGGGGTGGTACTCATCTCCATTTCTTTTCTTTTTTTAATTCTTTTTATTGTGTATTTTTAAGTACATTTTTTTTGTTCCCTCATCTCCATTTCTAAGTTGAATTGCCGGTGTTGTCCATAGACGCCTCCTAGGTCATGTGGCCAGCATGACTGCATGGAGTGCCATTACCTTCCCACAGAAGCCGTACCTATTGATTTACTCAGATTTGCATGTTTTCAAACTGCTAGGTTGGCAGAAACTCGGGCTAACACGGGGAGCTCACCCTGCTCTGTGGATTCAAACTGCTGACCTTTCGGTCGGCAAGTCCAGCAGCTCAGTGTTCAACCCACTGTTCCACCAGGAAGTGTTATTTCCTGTTTAATTGTGCGGTCCTTGTTTTGAAAGCAGTTGTTCTACTTGGGAAACTTCGTTTTTGTGTTGCCGCAAACTAAGTTGAATTGGTTGAGACTTGAGATATTTCTTGAAAAATGTGCTGCATGATGTCCCCCCTGCAAACACAAAGTTTTTGCAGTTTAGGAAACCTTTTACATGTTTTTATGATAGAACCAATTAGGAAATGCCATTTGTAACCCAGCAACATAAAGTGTTATTAGTTTGACGTTTAAAACCCAGGAACAAAAAAGTGTTATTAGCTGAGTACCGAGAGCAGAACCCAGTTGCAGGAGAATAGATTACAGCCTTTTCCTTTATGTCTGAAGTTCACAAGAGAAATGTTCCCTCTGAACCTTTTTCCCAACCACCTCGATCAGTGGGAACTATGGAAAGAGCCTAAAAACGCAGTTGCTTTATTTTCAACCCTTTTTTCTTCTTCTTTTTCCTTTCCTTCCCCATCACAGCTGGCCCTTTACACCGAGAAGTTCGAGGAGTTTCAGAACACACTTTCCAAAAGCAGTGAGGTGTTCACCACCTTCAAACAGGAAATGGAAAAGGTAGGTTGGGCTGCCGTTGCCTTCTGCTTGAGGCTGAGTTTCCTCTTTTTGGACTGCCATTCCCAGCTTTCTAGAAGTGGCAGTCCAGAACCCCCCCCCCCCCCCCCCAATGCTCTGGAAGTGAAAGCTTACAGCATTTAGAGGAAAGGCACCCAAGGTGAGATCAAGTATGTATTATGGACCTCAAAGCACCCCTGGATGGCCATCCAAAGAAGGAGGTTCAACTGGAAGAGACCCACAAAAGGTATCTAGTCCAGCTCCCTTCAGCCAGACAGTCAAAGCCCTCCCAACAGATGCAGCCTCTGCTTAAAAACCTCCAGAGAGGTTTAATCCCTACAGTGCCAGTTCTGTTCAAGTGTAGATATTATTTATTTATTTATTTATTTATTTATAGTATATGCATACTGCTTTTCTCATCCCGAGAGGGACTCAAAGCGGTGCTATAACTTTCATAATTTGCACAATGTTTTGATTTGAGTTGCAGTAATTATAATAATAATTTTTTAAAAACTTTATTTATACCCGCCACCATCTCCCCGATGGGGACTCGGGGCGGCTTACATGAGGCCAAGCCCAAACAACAAATTACAGCAAAATAAAGCAGAAAACACAAGCAATAAACAACAAAATCATGATTACATAAAACATGAATGCATAACAATATAAAAATTACAGTAAACATAATCACAGTGACAATGGACAGGCTGCATGTAATGATTAAAAGAAAAACTAATTAAAAACTGATTAAAAACTCGGGTGAGATAAATGGATACATAAGAAAATTTATTGACCATGATGTTTGTGAGGAACTCCATGGGGCAGCTTATAAAGGAAACGACACATAAGAAGTGTGAAAATATCTAAACCTTGTTTATACAATAAAGATAATAGAAAATATATATTATATATACTGGTATTATTATTATTATTACTAAGTTCTTGAGTCCCCTCCGGGGTAGAAATGCCGTAAATAAATAAATATTATACCACATTTATACCCCGCCTTTCTCACCCCAATGGGGGACTTGGGGGGACTTACAGACCATAGTATACAATGCTGCATTACACATATAATAATAAACATGACAATTAGCATATCAATTTAAACGTACAGTAATAAACTTGACATGTTAATTGAAAAATTCAAATGTAAATACAATTAAAAAAAACTTAAAAATAAGCATTCAATCCCAACCGAAGTGGGCTGATGACATATGAATTAAACAATCAATTAAACAATTCAAATATAAATACAATAAATCAGCTTAAAATTAAATAATAATAATATATATATATATATATATATATATATATATATATATATTGTATAAAACTCATAAAGGGTTGGTTTAACCTGATTTACTAGTAAAGCAGGATTTCAAGTGGATAGACACTATAGTGCCGAGTTTCCGGATTTTCCATGTTGGTGACACAGTTTTTATACATACAGCATTCCGCTAATTCAGTTTTACTAGCAAACAAGCTGTTAAACCAGCTCCTTAGAACAGATACAGATGCATACATAAATTGTGATAATGGAATCTATGGGGACCCAACTTGTCTCATGAAATAATTTCATTTAGGTTTTAAATATATATATGGTTTGTAAGGTAATGGCATACATTTCCAAGATTTTGATAATCTTTCATTATGTTTGCACACACCTACACACTGCAGCCAACACACTAATGTGTCATGACACACAGTTTGGAAAGCTCTGCTCTAATGGGATGAGGTCCTCTGTGTGTGTGTGTGTGTGTATGTATGTGTATACACACCCAGACACCTGTTGATCATAAATTTCATAGGGTTTCCTTAGGAAAGGTAGACTCAGAGATTGTTTTGCTAGTTCAACTCGAAAGTTTATTTTTGCACATGAGTTGCATCTGATGCAGTGGGGCACAAATCTTTTGAGAAGCAAAAGCATAACATTTTAAGCTGCCCTGAGACGCTTTGTTCTGGCCGCAACAGAGCACCATGGCCGTCCCCAGGCAAAGAGAGGGAATGCCATGCCCAGTGCATAGGTTACTTGCAAACTACTATGCTTTTCATTTTAACCTCCTTCTTCCTTTACTTCCTGGCACTTGCAGATGACGAAGAAGATCAAGAAGCTGGAGAAAGAGACCACCATGTACCGCTCCCGCTGGGAAAGCAGCAARAAGGCCCTGCTGGAAATGGCTGAAGAGGTGAGGGGCTCCRCTCCCCACTTTGTCTCTAGTGCCTTTTGTGCCTCTTGAAGCCCTCTTTAACAATCCTCCAAAGCCCCCCCCCCCCCCCAAGTCCTGCTCATTTAAGTTGTTCCTTAATGTATGGAAGAAGGAGGTTGCGCTGGATGGCCTGTGGGGGTCCTTTCCAAATCTAGTGAAATATAAATTGCCTGGGAGGCCAGTGGTGTCTCTTCCTCTTGAGGTTTTCAAGCAGAGGCTGGATGGGCATCTGTTGGGGGGGCTTTGATTGTGCCTTCCCTGCCTAGCAGAAGAGGACTGGACTGAATGGCTTTTTGGGGGTCCCTTCTAACTCTAGGCTTCTGTGATTCTAGGACAGATGTCTCCTGACAGATGGCTGGATGGCCATCTGTCAGGAGGGCTTGAATTGTGTCTTCTTTTATGGCAGAAGGGAACTGGGCTGGATGTCTTTTGAAGGTCCCTTCTAACCAGTGTAATAGAGACTGCCTGAGAGTCTGGTGGAGTCTCCTTCTCCGGAGTTCTTTAATCAGGGACTAGATGGCCATCTGTTGGAAGGGCTTGGATTGTGACTTCCTGTCTGGTAGAAGGGGGGTTGGACTGGATGGCCCTAGGGATCTCTTCCAGCAGTATGATTCTATGTTGTTGGTGGTGGTGGTGGTGTTGTTGCTATTACTTTTACTACTATTATAGACTGGATAGCCATCTGTTATAATGAAACTGTTTTTTAAATTTTTGTTTGTTTTAACAGGGCTTTATGATTATGTTTTATAGTGTTAATTTTAATTTGTTTGTATGGTTTTCCTTTCTGGCAATTGAATGTTTTGCCTTATGTTGGAAACCACCCTGAGTCCCTTTGGGTAGATAGGGCGGTATATAAATACAATTTTATCATTATCATCATTATTATTATTTTACTAACACAAAGACACTGAATGTCACAGCAAACGAGATATATATGCTGGATTTCATATCACAAAATCACAAGTCGAACACTTCCCAAGCGTCTAGGACTGTGTGATGTATTTTTGAATGATGCGCACAGATCCAAGTAAGGTGGGTTTTTGCAGTTGACAAATCGTGATTTTGTTGATGTTTATTGTTTCCAAATGCCGGCTGAGATCTTTATTATTGTTGTTGTTGTCATTATTATTATTATTATTATTATTATTATTATTATTATTATTGGAGAGCTTGAATAGTGACCTCCTGCCTTATATAAAGAGGTTGAACTGGATGGGTCTTGGGGAATTCCTTCCAAATCTAGGACCTGGGATCATACTAGAGTCTCCTTCTCTGGAAGTTTTCAAGCAGAGGCCTCGATGGCCATCTGTCGGGGGTGCTTGGATGGTGCCTTCACTGCCTGGCTGGACTGGATGGCCTTTGAAGGGGATTGCCTTAGTTTGCTTTAGCCAAGCAGGGCGAAAGACAGTCCCAAAACTTTAATCTCTTTCTTTCTTTTTCTCCCTCCCTGCCTTTGAAGAAAACCCTGCGGGACAAAGAGCTAGAAGGCTTGCAGGCCAAGATCCAGCGCCTGGAGAAGCTCTGCCGGGCCTTGCAGACAGAGCGCAATGACCTGAACAAGAAGGTGCAGGACCTTTGCGCCCTGGCTTCTCCACCAGCCAACATGGACGCCCAGCAAGGCGAATCAGAAGAAGTGGCTGCACAGGGTCCGGACCCGTCCGGCGAGTGCCTTGTGGGACTCACCGAAAGCCCCGGAGAACCCAGCATAGGAGCCTCCAAACCTGAAACCGAGTGAAGAAAAGGGCGGCGAGCAGGCCTCTGCAGAGACTGATCCATTCCGGGCCTCAAGGGAGGCGAGGAAGGGAGTCCGCCGGCAGGTTTCCCAGTTCAATACCGAAGGCTCTTTCTCTCTCTTCTCTCCCTTTTACCCCACTCTTCTTCTTCTTCTTTTGTTTGGCTTCTTTTTGCAAAACTATCTCAAGCTATTCTCTGCGACACGGTCCACTGTTTGATAGTGATTCCAAATGTAAACCGATCCAAGGCACCGGAAACTGGGGGATTATGGGGAGGGGTCCGCAATTCCCAGTTTCGCTCCACGCTAACTTTATCCCCCTGTTCAAGCAAAAAGAGTGGATTTTGCAGGGAACTCCGAGCAGATATTGTAGCTTTTCTTTTGTTGTCCCCCGTAAAAGAAAGCTACAACGTACGTTCTCCAGAGTTGTAGGGTTTTTGTTATTTTTCCCCCTCCCCACATACAAAAAAAAAGCAGGGTTTGTCTTCTGGAGAATAAGACAGATATGAGAAAGAAGAGATGGGAAGGTTGAAGTGTGCTGTCTTTTTGGGGGCCATGTCCCCCTCTTCCAGGACTTTGTTTGCGACTTCCGGGATCTTTCTCGAAACATAGCCTTACGACTTTCACCCGTTGCCTCGATGCTTTATATGCAGACACACGCACAATGACGTGTATGTATTAAATGGAACTTGATCCAAAGGTTTTTTTTCCTTCCTTTTTTGCACATGCCAAGGGGGGGATTATGTCTAGCTGCAAGAATGGCATGCAGACAGATATATATGGCCCTTTATGATGTATTAGCCTCCCCTTTTTGGGAGCTCAGTCCTAAATCTCTCGTAGGTTCGGAGAGATGGAACCTTAAGCTCTCAGAACCAAGGAAACGGAGGAGTTTACAGGGCTTTATGGGAAGGATTTGGATTCTGTTTCCTTACCTGTAAGCACTTTGGAGTCCAAAAATCCTCGTCAGTGCATTTCTACATGGTGGAATTATTGTGGTTTGATGCCACTTTAACTGCCTTATCTCAGTGCTGTGGGGTCCCACGATCCCACAGCGTTGGCGATGAATGTGGTTTGTACCTTTGCATCCAATAAGAACAAAAGCGGCGTCAAAACTGCATTGATGCTACAATGTAGATGCATTTTTAGTTTGGGACTTTGCTCTGCTCAGGAGGCCTGGTTGAGGATTGCAATCCAGTCTTGCATCCGATTGCAAACCTCTCAGCTTTTTGTTTTTCCTTTCCAAACCTACCTTTTTGGGGTCATTTTTAAGCCTCGAACCCTTTGCCTGGCTGGTCTTATCCTTCTTCCGCTTTGCATTCCAACCCAGTGAGTAAGGAAAGCTTTGGGAGGAGCATCCCATGGCATTAAAGGGCTGCATGGAGTGAGAATTAAATGAATAATGTTGTTGGACTGCAGCTCCCAGCATGCCTCAGGCTTGCTTGGCTGATGAGAGGTACAGTTCAGCAGCATTTGTGAAGCTTTAGGGTTCCTATCCCACCCCCTTTGGGCTTCAAATAAGGCTTTGGGATTTATGTCACAGCCGCCAATGCTGAGTTGAGAGGTGGGCCCCTCGGCTATTTCTTTTGGGGCCCGCATTCCTTTCCACTTTAAAGGGCCCCTTCCGGTTCCTGGCAAGACGGTCCCATGGCAAGTGAATGTACTTTCTCCGCCAAAGCGACCGCCTTGTGGCCAGGCCTTTTTTGCTTGCTTCCTTCCTTCCTCTTGGCTCTTCTTGGGACTTCTTTCTTCTTCCGACGCTGTGGTATCAATAGCCTATAATCACCAGATCCGTTGTATGTATCTTTGTATCCAATAGAAATGAACATAAAACTTGATGACAAGAAACGTGTCGGCTCTGTTCTTTTGAGGGCTGGGATTTGATTTTTTTCTGAGGCTGAGAGAGTGTGACTTGCCTTAAATAGCTCAGTGGGGATTTGAACACAATCGCTATGGAAAACCCATTGCTCCTTCAGGGTTTTATTTTAGGGCTCCCATCCAAGCCCTAACCAGGGCTGATCCCTGCTTAGGTTCCAAGATTATTATATGTATGTGTGTGTGTATGTATATGTATGTGTGTATATAGATACATATACACACACTGTATGACTACAATTCTTACATTTTATTATAATCTTATTTACATCATTATATTTTTTATTATTTAATTTTCACATTATTATGACTATTATTATTTACTTTTATTTTTATCTCAGCTTGTGTATAAGTTCAGTATTTACTTCATTAGTAGTATTATTTACATTATTTATTTGTCGTGTTAGAGCAACCAGTCCATTTACATCATCATTAGTTATTTACATCATCATTAGTATTATAGTATTTCTCAGCAATATTCCTTGGGGTCTCCCATCCAAGCCCTAACCGGGGCCAACCCTTGCTTAGTTTCCAAGATTATTATATGTTTGTGTGTGTGTGTGAATAAAAATGTAATGTTCGTTTGTGGGATTAACATAACTCAAAATCCACTGGATAAATTGACACCAAATTTGGACACAATACACCTATCAGGTCAACAAGTGACCATCACACATAAAAACACTGAAAAACACAGGCGAAAAGACTTAAAAAGCCAAAAAAAACCAACGTTACAATGCATGCACAAAAATATTACGCAAACATATATACACACACATATACACACACTAAGCACATATACACAGAGTGGGCTACAGCAATGCATGGCAGGGGACAGCTAGTGTATATACACACACTGTATTACTACAATTCTTATATTATTATAATTTTATTTACATTATTATAATTTGTATTATTTAATTTTTCACATTATTATTGTTATTATTCACTTTCATTTTTATCCCACCTTGTTTTGTATTACTTTATTTATTTATTATTTGTACCTTATTTATACCCCGCTTTTCTCTACCCCAAGGGGGATTCAAGGCGGCTTACTTGTGGCACTTACACAGTGCCTTAAGACATACAGATGTTGACTTAAAATAAATTGGATTAGAATTAATACATATTAAATATAATTAAAATGCATTCCAATGTTAAAACCATGCTATCTAGGAATCAAAGTCTAAGACCGTTCTGTAATCAATTGCACATATTTTATTATTATTTACTTTATTAGTAGTATTATCATTATTCTATTTCTCAGAAATATTCCTTGGGGATCTCCCATCCAAGTCCTATCCAGGGCTGACCCTTGCTTAGCTTCAAAGATCATTAGGAATCTGAAGCTTTTAGGTTGTTGTTGTTGTTATTACTATTTTACTGACACAAAAACACAGTATGACACAGCAAATGAGATCTACATCCTGGATTTAGTATCCCAAAATCACAAATCTAACACTTCCCAGGCACTTAGGACTGTGATGTATTTTCGAATGATGCACGCAGATCCAAGTAAGGTGGCCTTTTGCAGTTGACATATTGTGATTTTGTCAAATGCCAGCTGAGATCTTTTGGCACGACACCCAGTGTGCCAATTACCACTGGGACCACCTGTGCTGGTTTATGCTGGAGCTATTATTATTATTATTATTATTATTATTATTATTATTATTATTATTTACGTCGTCATTATTATTTACACCATTATTATATGTTATTATAGTACTATTATTATATTTTATTATTTAGTTTTCATTTTATCCCACCTTTCTCAAGGGACTCAAGGATTGAAATCAGTAGAGTATCCCTTATCCAAAATTCTTTGAATTGTGAGTCTTTTTTTCACATTTCAGAATACCTGTATTTACATAGATTTACTGCCTATTACAGGGAAAACCAGCTGATCCCCAACCCATCTAAAACACAGACATGTGCCTTTCATCTCAAGAACAGAGAAGCATCCCGAGCTCTGAGGATCACCTGGGAAGGAATCCCACTGGAGCATTGCAGCGCACCCAAATACCTGGGAGTCACTCTGGACCATGCTCTTACCTACAAGAAGCATTGCCTGAACATCAAGCAAAAAGTGGGTGCTAGAAACAATATCATACGAAAGCTGACTGGCACAACCTGGGGATCACAACCAGACACAGTGAAGACATCTGCCCTTGCGCTGTGCTACTCTGCTGCTGAGTATGCCCAGTGTGGAACACATCTCACCACACTAAAACAGTGGATGTGGCTCTTAATTAGACATGCCGCATTATCACGGTGTCTGCGCCCTACACCACTGGAGAAATTACACTGCTTAGCCGGTATTGCACCACCTGACATCCGCCGGGAAGTAGCAGCCAATAGTGAAAGGACCAAGGCAGAGACATCTCCAGCTCATCCCGTTTGGGTATCAGCCAGCACGTCAACGACTTAAATCTAGAAATAGTTTTCTAAGATCTACAGAGACACTCGCTGGAACACCTCAGCAAGCGAGAGTCCAAAAGTGGCAGGCTCAAACCCAGAACCTCAACCAATGGCTGATACCAAATGAGAGACTCCCCCCTGGGCACACAAAACTGGACGACTTGGAAGGCGCTGAACAGACTGCGCTCTGGCACCACGAGATGCAGAGCCAATCTTCAGAAATGGGGCTACAAAGTGGAATCCTCGACATGCGAGTGCAAAGAGGAGCAAACCACTGACCACCTGCTGCAATGCAACCTGAGCCCTGCCACATACACCATGGAGGACCTTCTTGCAGCAACACCGGAAGCACTCCAAGTGGCCAGATACTGGTCAAAGGACATTTAATCAACTACCAAACTCACAAATTTTGTATTTTGTCTGTTTGTTTGCTTTGTTCTGTTAGAAATGTAATATAATTGACTGGCTGCCCTGACACGAGAAATAAATAGATTTACATAATGAGATATCTTGGTAGCGAGACTTAGTTCAAAACATGAAATTCATATTGTTTCCTATAAACACAGAGCCTAAAGATAATAAGTTCTTGTGGGTCTTTTCGGGCTATGTGGCCATGTTCTAGAGGCATTTCTCCTGACGTTTCGCCTGCATCTATGGCAAGCATCCTCAGAGGTAAGATAATTTTATTATGCACTAAATGTTTTTAATATATTTGTACATTGAACCTAAAGGACACTAAAGGGCAACATCTGCAAAACAAGGCACAAAAGAGACATGGGAGTCTTTGGATTTATTATTATTTTTAATTATTCAAATAGACAAAGACATTTCAGCAGAAAGGTATTTGTATCTTTGGCCATTTTCAAAGCCCAGAAGCTTTTTCTCAACTGACCCAAAGGTCTCCCCTTCACACCAGATTTCCAGTTTCATGGACACAACCTTCCTTGGAAATAAACACCTTGTTTCCCTGTTTTCACATCTATTATTAGGAGCCGCGGTGGCACAATGGGCTAAATCAGTGGTTCCCAACCTTTTTTTGACCAGGGACCACTTTGACCAGGGAGCGCTCTCCAATGTTAGTACCAAAAGGGTTATGTAGGGTTCTGAATCAGAAAATTGCATTGGATAGACTACATCAGCTTTAGTTTCCAGGTGTTTTGGACTCCAATTCCCAGCTTAAGCGGCTGCAGAGGAAAAAGAAGGGGCCTGATGCTGTTAGGAATTGTGGGAGTTTGAGTCCAAAACACCTAGAGGGCCCAAGTTTGCCATGCATGGATTAAACTATAACTTGTATTGCTTTTAGCGTTAGGAACTGCTTTGACTCTGTTAGGAGAGTAAAGCAGTAGATTAATCATAGTTATCATCATAATTAATAGTAATAATAGTTGTATTAGCAGGGCCATGCCCAAGCCTATCCTAAAAAATAAAATAAAAAATCCTTAATAATAAAATTAATCTAATAAAATAAAATAAAATATCCTGAAAAAATAAAACATCCTATAAATAAAATAAATAAATCCTATAAATAAAATAAAACATCCTAAAAAATAAAATAAAATCCTAAAATTAAAATTAAATTAAAATCTTTAAAAATAGAATTAAAACATCCAAAAATTTAAATAAAAAATCCCTAAAATTGAATTAAAAATCCCCCCAAAAATAAAACATCCCAAAAAATAAAATAAAACATCCTAAAAAATAAAATAAAACATCCTAAAAATAAAATTAAAATTAAATTAAAATCTTTTAAATTAGAATAAAAATTCTAAAAATTTAAATAAAAAAACCCAAAAATTGAATTAAACATCCTAAAAATAAAATAAAACATCATAAAAATAAATTAAAATTAAATTATTTAAAAATAGAATAAATAATTCTAAACATTTAAATAAAAAAATCCCTAAAATTGAATTTAAAATCCCAAAAAATAAAATAAAACATCCTAAAAAATAAAATCAAACCTCCTAAAAATAAATTAAAATTAAATTAATTTTTTTAAAAATAGAATAAAAAATTCTAAACATTTAAATAAAAAATCCCTAAAATTGAATTAAAAATCCTAAAAAATAAAATAAAACATCCCAAGAAATAAAATAAATGAATTATTGAAAATAAAATAAAACACCCTAAAAATAAAATAAAACATCCTAAAAATAAAATTAAAATCTTTAAAAATAGAATGAAAAATTCTAAAAATTTAAATAAAAAATCCCCAAATTTGAATTAGTAAAGGTAAAGGTAGTCCCCTGACATTAAGTCCAGTCATGTCTGACTCTGGGGTGTGGTGCTCATCTCCATTTCTAATCCGAAGAGCCAGCGTTGTCCGAAGACACCTCCAAGGTCATGTGGCTGGCATGACTGCATGGAGCGCCGTTACCTTCCCGCTGGAGCGGTACCTATTGATCTACTCACATTTGCATGTTTTCGAACTGCTAGGTTGGCAGAAGCTAGGGCTGACAGCGGAAGCTCACACCGCTCCCCGGAATCGAACCTGCGACCTTTCGATCAACAAGCTCAGCAGCTCAGTGCTTTAACCCACTGCGCCACCGGGGGCTCCCTAAATTTGAATTAAATTTGAATTAAACATCCTAAAAAATAAAATAAAACATCCCCAAAAAAATTTATTAAAAATAAAATAAAACATCCTAAAATTAAAATCAAAATGAAATTTAAATCTTGAAAAATAGAATAAAAAAATTCTAAAAAATTAAAATAATGAATCCTAAAAAATAAAATAAAAATGCTAAAAAATAAAATAAAAATATTTTAAAAATAAAATAAAAAATCCTTAAAATGAAAAAAATCCTCAGAAAAGAAAAACCACATTCAAAGAAAAATAATCCTAAAAAAATAATATCCTAAAGCTTTTTTAAAAAAATCCTAAAAATACAACTAATCCTAAATAATAAAATATTTTCTTTTAAAAAAAGCATAACAAATGAGGAAATCTAAAAAAATATATAATCATTTTAAAAACCCTAAAAAAAATTAAAATAAATCTGGAGTTGGGTGCAAAAGGAAAACCTCAATCCTAGCCCTCCTCAATTCGAGAAGGGCTTTCCCTTGCCCTGATTGGCTCCTTGCTTTTGCAAAAGGAGGGGGGAGAAAGATGTGTGCCTCCCCCACCCCCTCCCCTTTAAAACAAGGCAACCTCATCCTTGATCCCCTTCGTGGAGAGAGACACAGAGACAGACGGATCCTTCGTCGCCCACCTTGCAGGGAGGTCAGTTCATTCAATAGGCGCCCCCCCCCCTTCCCAGAGAGAGAGAGGGAGGAGGGAAGGAGAGGAAGAGGATGGAACGTTGGAGAGGCGAACGTTCTAAATAGGGACGCCAGGCTCGCCATTGATGCCTCTTTCAGGCAGCCAATGGGAAAGCCAAAGCATCCCTCCATTGGACAAGCAGATCCCTTTCCTCTTTCCATGCTTTCCTTTGATGGATCAGCAATGGACTTTTCCTGGGGGGTTTCCCTCAATCACATACACACATACACATTTTCACTTTTATTATGTGTATAGATATATTAGTATTACTATATTACAGTATCATCATCATCATTATATATTATTATATTGAATTATTAGTATTATATTGAATTATTAGTATTATATTGAATTATTAGTATTATATTGTGTGACACTATAATATTATGATCAATACAATATATTATATTGTAAGCATAGCACAACATTCGTATTATATATTATTATATTATTACATTGTACTATATTATGTTAGCAGAATATATATAATACACTACCAGTATATTATACTATTAGTATTATATATTCTATTGTACTATATCATAAGTTGTAGTATGTATAATATATTTTATATTATATTATTAATATTATATATAATAGTATTATTACATATACATATATTACACATACATATGATATACATATGTAGATACATACACATCCTCTGTGTGTGTGTGTGTGTGTGTGTGTGTGTGTGTATATATATATATATATATATATATCGTGGATATACAGTGTGTGTGTGTGTATATGTGTGTATCCCCTGTGTGGATATACAATGTGTGTATACATATTCATATGTGTGTGTGTGTGTGTGTATATATATATGTATCCTGTGTGTGTGTGTGTATACATATATATATGTGTGCATCCCCTGTGTGGATATACAGTGTGTGTATACATATTCATATATGTGTGTGTGTCTATATATATATGTATCCTGTGTGTGTATACATATACATATATATATGTGTGTGTGTGTGTATGTATATATCCTGTGTGGATATACAGTGTTTGTGTGTATATATATCCTGTACGGATATACTGTGTGTGTGTATCCTCTGTGTGGATATACAGTGTGTGTGTGTGTGTGTGTGTGTGTGTGTATACATACATATATATGTGTGCGTGTGTATGTATATATCCTGTGTAGATATACAGTGTTTGTGTGTATATATATCCTGTACGGATATACTGTGTGTGTGTATCCTCTGTGTGGATATACAGTGTGTGTATACATATACATATATGTGTGTGTCCTGTGTGGATGTACTGTGTGTATATCCCCCTTGTGGATATACTGTGTGTGTGTGTGTGTATACATATATGTGTGTGTGTGTATACTGTGTGGATATACAGTGTTTGTGTGTGTGTATGTATGTGTGTGTGTGTATATATATATATATATCTCCTGTGTGGATATACAGTATGTGTGTGTATATATATATCCTGTGTGTGTGTGTGTATCCTGTGTGGATATACTGTTTGTGTGTGTGTACCCCCTTTGTGGATATACAGTGTGTATGCAGGCATACATGCATGCTCTTTTATGTTGTATATGTATTTTATATATAGGGTCACAACGGCTGGCAACCTGAATGACAATGCTGCAAAATTTATTTGCTAAAATGCCAAAGTCAAAATATTATCTGAATTTAAGCTATTTGGCCAGAAATGAAAAAGACAGGATCTTATATTTTGACAAATGGTAGATTTCCATGAAGCCTAAAGGAGTGGATTGATGACAAACTGGATAAAGGATAACATTTTATGTACATATATCCTGCATATACTAAGGGATATGTCCTTCAGTAACATAAAATTACATATTTTCATGGTTTTGTCCTCTCTCTCTCCATTCGTGTTCTCTTTCTCTCCACACACACACATATATGGGAGAAATAAGTGACTCTATATAATGTTATGTTAATGGAGGGGAGAAGAAAGGTGCATGTGTACAATATATATATTCTCGCTAGATAGATAGTAAGAATATATATACAATGGATGGATGAGAGTGTGACTAGATAGATAGATAAACAGACACACACACGTATATATACATACAGCCATATATTTTCTATATATATGGGGAAAGGGTAAAATATATAATGTTATGCTATTGGAGGGTAGATAGATAGATAGATAGATAGATAGATAGATAGATAGATAGATAGATAGATAGATAGATAGATAGATAGATAGAAGAAGGTATATACACACATGTAATATATATAGGGGAAGAGGGAAAATATATAATGTTATGTTATGTTATTGGGAGATATATATGTGTGTTATATACACACATATACTCTCTCTCTCTCTCTCTCTCTCTATATATATATATATGGGGAAGAGGGGAAATATATAATGTTATGTTACTGGAGGATATATGCACACACACATTATCTCTCCCTAAATATACATATGGAGAGAAAAGGGTGAAAATATATAATGTTATGCTATTGGGGAATATATATACACACACTTTTAATACAGGTGGGATTTGGGGGTGATTGACTGAACTCAGACGATAATAGATCTGGACCAAACTTGGCACAGAGACCGAACATGGCCAACTTTGAATACAGGTGGGGTTTGGAGGGAATTGACCCACGATTTTGGTGATTGTAGTTCACCCCCATCCTTATGTATTTTCTAGTGGGAGCATTCATAGAAAAACAAAAGCAAAGATTAACTTTTTCTAATAAATAGTTAATCTTGCAAATTGCTTAACCCGGCCACTGTTGGGTACCCAAGCTAGTATGTATATATGTGTGTATTTGGGTGTGTATACACACACATATATTTTCTTTCTCTCTCTCTCTCTCTCTCTCTCTCTATATATATATATATATAGGGGAGGAAAAGGTGAATATAGATCATGTTATGTTACTGGAGATGATATAAATAAGCACACATACATACATACATGCATACACACATATTCTCTATATACATATGGGGAGACATGGTGCATATATATGTGTGTGTGTGTGTTACTGGAGTATGTGTATATATATATATATATATATACACACACACACACACACATACACACACACTCACATCTGTGTGTGTGTGTGTGTGCATACACACACACACATACATACATATGGGGAGAAAAGGGTGAAAATATATATTATTAGTACTGGAGGATATATATATATATACACATACATACACACATATATATATACACACACACATATTCTCTCTCTATATACATATATATAGGGAAGAACAAGGTGAATATATATCATGTTATGTTACTGGAGGTGATATATATAAACACAAACACATAGAATCATAGAATCAAAGAGTTGGAAGAGACCTCATGGGCCATCCAGTCCAACCCCTGCCAAGAAGCAGGAATATTGCATTCAAATCACCCCTGACAGATGGCCATCCAGCCTCTGTTTAAAAGCTTCCAAAGAAGGAGCCTCCACCACACTCCGGGGCAGAGAGTTCCACTGCTGAACGGCTCTCACAGCCAGGAAGTTCTTCCTCATGTTCAGATGGAATCTCCTCTCTTGTAGTTTGAAGCCATTGTTCCGCGTCCTAGTCTCCAAGGAAGCAGAAAACAAGCGTGCTCCCTCCTCCCTGTGGCTTCCTCTCACATATTTATACATGGCTATCATATCTCCTCTCAGCCTTCTCTTCTTCAGGCTAAACATGCCCAGTTCCCTAAGCCGCTCCTCATAGGGCTTCTTCTCCAGACCCTTGATCATTTTAGTCGCCCTCCTCTGGACACATTCCAGCTTGTCAATATCTCTCTTGAATTGTGGTGCCCAGAATTGGACACAATATTCCAGGTGTGGTCTAACCAAAGCAGAATAGAGGGGTAGCATTACTTCCCTAGATCTAGACACTATGCTCCTATTGATGCAGGCCAAAATCCCATTGGCTTTTTTGTCGCCACATCACATTGTTGGCTCATGTTTAACTTGTTGTCCACGAGGACTCCAAGATCTTTTTCACACATACTGCTCTCGAGCCAGGCATTGTCCCCCATTCTGTAACTTTGCATTTCGTTTTTCCTGCCAAAGTGGAGTATCTTGCATTTGTCACTGTTGAACTTCATTTTGTTAGTTTTGGCCCATCTCTCTAATCTGTCAAGATCATTTTGAATTCTGCTCCTGTCCTCTGGAGTATTGGCTATCCCTCCCAATTTGGTGTCGTCTGCAAACTTGATGATCCTGCCTTCTAGCCCTTCATCTAAGTCATTAATAAAGATGTTGAACAGGACCGGGCCCAGGACAGAAACCTGCGGCACTCCGCTCGTCACTTCTTTCCAAGATGAAGAGGAAGCATTGGTGAGCACTCTCTGTGTTCGTCCATTTAACCAATTACAGATCCACCTCACCGTAGTTTTGCCTAGCCCACATTGGACTAGTTTCCTTGCCAGAAGGTCATGGGGGACCTTGTCGAAGGCCTTACTGAAATCCAGGTACGCTACATCCACGGCATTCCCCGCATCTACCCAGCTTGTAGCTCTATCGAAGAAAGAGATCAGATTAGTCTGGCATGACTTGTTTTTGATAAATCCATGTTGACTATTAGCGATGACTGCATTTGTTTCTAAGTGTTTGCAGACCGCTTCCTTAACAATCTTTTCCAGAATCTTGCCCGGTATCGACGTGAGGCTGACCGGACGGTAGTTGTTTGGGTCATCCTTTTTTCCCTTCTTGAAGATTGGGACCACATTGGCCCTCCTCCAATCTGCTGGAACTTCTCCCGTTCTCCAAGAACTCTCAAAGATGGTTGCCAATCGTTCCGAAATGACTTCCGCTAGTTCCTTCAATACTCTGGGGTGTAGTTGATCTGGAACTAGCGGAAGTCATTTCGGAACCATTGGCAACCATACATGCATACACACATACATACATGCATACACACATATATTCTCTCTGTATACATATGGGAAGACAAGGTACATATATATATATATATGTCTGTGTTACTGGATGATATACACACACACATGTCTGTGTGTGTACATATATATATATACGTACACGCACATACATACATATAGGGAGAAAAGGGTGAAAATATATATTATTACTGGAAGATATGTATACACACACACATATATATACGTGCGCATACACATTTTCTCTATATATGGGGAGAAAAGGGTGAAAATATATATTATTACTGGAGGATATATATATATATATATATATATACACACACACACACACACACACATATATACACACACACATATATACACACACACATATTCTCTATATATACATATATATAGGGGAGAACAAGGTGAGCATATATCATGTTTTGTTACTGGAGGTGATATATATAAACACAAACACATACATACATGCATACACACATATATTCTCTATATACATATGGGGAGAAAAGGGTGAAAATATATATTATTACTGGAGGATATATATATATATATAGGGGAGAACAAGGTGAGTATATATCATGTTTTGTTACTGGAGGTGATATATATAAACACAAACACATACATCCATACATACACACATATATTCTCTCTATATACATATGGGAAGACAAGGTACATGTATATGTCTGTGTTATTGGATGATATATATATACACACACGCACACACATCTGTGTGTGTGTATATACATATACATACATACATATGGAGAGAAAAGGGTGAAAATATATATTATTACTGGAGGATATGTATACACACATACATACAAACACACACACATATATATACGCGCGCATACACATTTTCTCTATATATGGGGAGAAAAGGGTGAATATATATAATGTTATTTTATTGGAGGAGACACACACATATACACACACACATATACTGGGGTATGTTTGTATCTATGGAGGAAAAGGGTGACCCTCTCTATGTTGTTGTGCCTATCCCTCCTCTCCTTTCAGGTGTCGCTGGTCCTGGCAATGGAGGAAAAGCGGAAGAAGCGAAGCCCCAAGGGCCCCCCTCCAGCTCCGGCCCCGGCCTTGCCCCCCACGGCCCTCCGCCGTCTGCCGGCCCCCTCCAACAAGAGCACCTCCTTCGCCCTGGGAAAACCCCACCTGCCCTCCCCGAAGCAGAGGGCCAAGGCCAAGAGGTTAGCCGGGGACACGGCCTTCAAAAGAGGAGGGGGAAGGTGGGATTCAAACCCAGGGCTCATGGAAAAGGGGGTGGGGTGAGATACAGGAAAGCATTTCAATACTTGCTCTTCCAAGAGGCACACTGCACATGCTCAGAGGCCGACGGGTCGTCTGCAGAGTGGACGCGGTGGGACATGGAATTATTCCCCTAAAAAGGCAGATTATAACACTAAAGATGGAAAAAATATTACTCTATGTTTTGTTCCTGGGTTATAAATATCACTTCCTAATTGGTTAAATTATACAAACATGGGAAAAGTATATTAAACAGCAAACACTGTGTCTGTGCGGGTGGGACATCCCGCGGCAAATTTGACTCTAGTTTTGCAATGAACATCTCATCATCGAGTCTCAACCCATTCTGCTGGACAAGTGGGCTTATTAACAAAAGACGCTCCTCATAAATGTACAGCAGAGTAACTTATTAGCAGTAGTGTGACCCAGCACTAGTAGCCAAAGTGATACAAAGAACAAAAACACACAGACCAATGTTATCTCTTCCATAGGAGTCTTTTTATGGCAAAATAATATGGTGGCACTATTTGCAAGTTTCCATAACACAAATAAAGTCCTTTATTTTGTTCTTTGCTTCCACGCTGGGCTTCTTTCTCATGCAGATAAACAGCTTCATTCTCATAGAACCTCTTCACACACCGAACTTACTCAGGAGCTTCACACAGTAGCTTTATACACAGCTTTACACACAAAGTCTTCAACCTGGGGCTTCTCTCACCAAAGCTTCTCACAGACTAAGGTCTACCTCACACTGTGAGGCCTTCTCACAGACTTAAGGCAGGTATGGGCAAACCCAGGCCCTGGGGCCGGATACGGCCTCTTGGGCTCTTTTCCCAGGTCCTCCTCTCTCACACCATCCTATCTTTCCTTCCTTCCTTTTCTCTTTCCTTCCTCCTTCCCTCCCTTCCTTCCCTCCCTCTTTCTCCCTCCTTCCTTCCCTTTCGTCCTTCCTCCCTTCCTCCCTCTTCTTTCCTTCCTCCTCTTCCCTCTCTTTCTCCTTCCTTCCTTCCTTCTCTCCTTTCTCCTTCCTCCCTCCCTCCTTCCCTCTCTTCCTCCCTCCTTTTCCTTCCTTCCCTCCTCCCCTCTTCCTTATCCTTCCTTCCTTCCTTCAGTCCTTCTTCCTTCCTCCTCCTTCCTCTTCTTCCCTCTTTCTCCTTCCTTCCTTCCTTCTTCCTCTCTCCCTTTCTCCTTCTTCCTTTTGTCTTTCCTTCCTTCCCTCTCTCCCTTCTTCTTCCTCCTTCCCTCTCCCTTCTCTTCCTTTTTCCTTCCTTCCTTCTTCCTCTCCTTCCTTTTCCTTCCTTCCTTCTTTTTCCTTCTTCCTTCCTCCTCCTCCTCCTCCCCCTCTCCCTCCCTCCCCCTCCTCCTTCCTCTCTCTTTTCTCCTCTTCTTCCTCTCCTCCCTTCTTCCCCTTTTTCCTCTCTCTCCTTCCTTCTTCCCTCCCTTTTCTCCTTCCTTCCTCCTCCCTCCGTCCCCTCCCTCCCTCTCTTTCTCCTTCCTTCTCTCCTTCTTTCCCCCTTTCCTTCCTCTCTCCATTCCTTCTTTCC